CACGATGATCTGTCTCAGGCCTTCCGGGACCGCCGGTTGGCGATCACAGATGCTGAGGGAGACGAACTTGTGCAGCGCCTCCAGGGGCAGGCGGCGGAGGATTTCGACGGTCAGGCCGTCAGCGCCCGGGGCGCGGTTCAGGGACAGTGCCCGGAGGGCCGTGCTGACCTCTTCCTGCGACACGGCAGGCGCGGGGCTGGCGTCCCGGAAGTCGGCCGCGGTCCGGCGCGTGTTTGGGTCGCGGTTGCGCATCCTGTGCGCGTAAACTTTTCCGAAGAGCGTGGCCCGGCGCCGGGCAGACTCGACCCAGCGCCCGTTTTCTTCGTCCCACAGCCGTGAGGTTGGGGGTGTCGGCGCCCCCCCTCGGTCCGGGTCGATGCTGAACAGCAGACGCCACCACCCGACGTCGCTGGTGTTCCACCGGGGTGCCCCGGCCGCCTGGTTAGGTGCTACCTGTTTGTAGGCGCCCTGTTCGCTCGCGGCCTGCTCGACTGCTCCCTGGATGGCCGCAACGGCTTCCGCGGCCGTGCCCCACTCCGAAGGAGCCAGGCTCAGCTCGCTGAGGTCGAGGCTGTCGAGGTCCAACATGCGCGCCCATGTGGCCTGCCGCGGAGCGGCCCAGGTGAGGTGCTCGACCTTGAGGCTGTGGTGGTTGCTCGCGCTTTTTCGCACCACTTTCGCCTGGGGCCAGTCGGCTGCTTCCTCGACCCAGTATGGCAGGCTTTGCCCGGGGCTGTTCGCCACCTCATCGGCAGCCGGCCAACTTATCCAGTACATGCGGTCGGGGCATGTACCGGCCGCGGGGTACGTCGCCCGGCGGGTGGAGTTGAGCCGCTGGAGTGTGAACTCGCCGGCATCGAGCTGCTCTATCCCACCGATGTTGTCCCCGTACAGGAGCGCGCCGACGACCCCCGGCGTGGCCTTGAAGAAGGCGCGAACCCTGGCCCAGCTCGAGAGCAGTGATTCGGCTGGGGTTGCGTACCAGGCCGCAGTCAGGGTGGGCACTGATAGCTCAACCGCTTCACCTGGGTCGGTGGCTGAGGTAGGCAGGAACACGATGCCCGCCGCGATCTCTTGGCGGGGGCCAAGCGCGGGCGCTTGCAGTGGCCGCGCCGGGATCGAGTGGTGGACTGTTATCATGGCCCCGCCGGCCCGGTTCGGCGCTTCGGGTGTTGTTGGTCTGTCGGTGCGCGCGAGCACCGGTAGTCTGGCGGGCAGGGGATTCGGGTCCTCTGGCGCCAGGTGGGTTTCTACGTAGAAGTTGACGCCGTGGCGCTCCCCTCCCGGTAGGCTCCGCGGGTATTTCTGCTGAACCCGCGCGAGCCCATCAACGTTGGCGCGTCGCCAAGCGGCGCGGCAAGATGTCACTAATCCCAAGCCCCTGGGCGGGAGGGGTTCCCGGGGTGCCCTGTTGCCGTGGCAGCGGGGTGGTGGCCCGACGCCGGGGCGTACCGGTCCACGCCAGTGCGCCCGCCGGGTGCGGGGCCCGCCTTCCGAGACAGGGCGGCGCGCATGCTTGCGGTGCGCGCGGCGTTGTTTGCCATGGCCGTGGCGTGGGCCATGGTCGTCCGCCGCCGAGCCCGGCGGCGGCGCGCTAAATCCCTACCCGGCCCCGTCCTACCGACCGGCTTCTGTCGCTTGATCCGCGCATGCTATGGCGCTGGGGCGATTTTCGGGGACTAACTCCGCCGGTGCTATGGGCCCGATTTGCCTGTTTCCAGGTCAGGAAAAATGGCCAGACGCTAGTTTTAGCCCGGCGGGATTGAGACCTCTTCGACCGGTTTTGGGCTCGGGGCCGCCGTCCGCCCGGGGGAAGAAGCGGCCCCCACCGTAACCCCGAACGCGGGAGGCAGGCTCGTTGCCCGAATCGTGGGCCTTGTGGGTGGGCTCTGGCCGGTCAGTCCCACGTCTGCGTGGTCCGGGAGGGTGGGTGGGTGGGAGGGTGGGTGGGGTTTGGGGTGTTGACATCTTGCTGTACTGTCGAATCGATACCCATCCTTCTAGTCAGATCTGGGTTGGCACCATGGTGCCCGCCCCAACTTCAGTTCTGGCGTTGTCTGCTGGAGCGCTAGTGGAATCTGCATTGCCACCGGCCTTCGCAGGTGGGGTTTGCTCTTCGCTGTCACTCAGAAGCAGTATGTTCTCGACCCGAGGGCCTCGCGCCTTGGCGACGTGCGCCTGCTGCTGTCCGGCCGGCGCCTGCGGCGCCGGACGCGCCGCCGGTTTGGCAGCGGCCTTTCCCGGGGCGTCCTGGCTGTTCTGCTGCGACGAGCGGCCGCCGCGTTTCGGCACCGCGTGATACTTGGCAGGGGGGCCACCTCCTGGTGGGCCCGCCTCGCCCGGATCGTACCGTGCCGGTTTGAGGCTACCCGGGCCGGCGAGAACGCCGTAATTTTCCCCATTCACCACTACTTGCACGGCCGGATGCCCCGCGGCCGGGGCGGAGTGGCAGGCGTTGTAATGCGCGGCTATATGGGTTAAAAATTGGGACGGAAACCTGTTATTGACCTCCTTGCCGCATTCGCATTTTAATCGGGGGCGGGTGGAATCAATACAGTCGTATCCTTGGCGGGTGGGGTGCCATTCCCGCGCCGGGAGGGGAAAAATTTCGGGGCGGGGAGTGGTCTTCAGGTGCAGGGTTGCGGTAGCGGTTCCCGGCTTTGCCGATTTCCGATACGGCATTTGGTGCGACCTCAACAACTCTCTCTCGACCGCTTGGCAAGCTTCGGCCGTCTGGAAGACCGGGCGGAGGTCACCCGGTCCAGTGGCGTATTCCTCTTGGATCTGAGCCCCCGTGCGCATGAGCTTAATCGCGCTGCCAAGGCTCAATACGCCGAAGAAATCGTCTGCCAGGCGGAGAATCGCCGTGTGGCTTTCCCCGGGGCCCTGCGGGCTGAAAATGAAGCCAAGATGGTCTTGGCTCCGTTTCACGAGTCGGTGATCGGGGAGGGGCGTGTTGGCAATGTAGGCGCCAAATTGCGGCCCGATGTCCATCAGCTCCTCCACCGAAACGACATCTTGCTCCGCCTTCGACCGGAGATGTTCCGTCCGCTCATCTCCCAGTTGGAGGATGTTTGCAAGGACATCTATTTGGCAGCTCCGATAGTGAGTAAGGTTGGCCGCTTTTTGGCTGGCCCGTAGCAGGCTTCTGCCCGTTGCGTCCAGCTGTCGGCCGCTTCCCGGGACCGGGGCGCCCGGGTCTCCGGGGTCGGGCCCTTTCCCTTTCTTTCCCGGGCCCTTGGTTTTGCCGCGGCCCTTCTGCGCGGTGTTATCCGGGGGGAAGTACTGGCCCCCAAGGGGGTCGGCGTCGCGCGCTGCGGGCGCGCCTTCCCTGTTGCTGTCCGCCTCTGCGTGGGCCCGTCGCGAGGTTTCCCGCCGCGACTTCTCCACCCCGGCGCGATGCTTCTGCAGGCAATCCTTGACCATGTTGCCGGAAGCAACGGCGCCGAACTTTTCCCGCAGCTGCGTCCGGATCTCCGCGATGGAGCCCCGCACCCGTTCCGGGGCGCCCTCCTCGTGCGGCAGCTGCTGAAGGCAGGCCAGGACCATGCTCCGCAGCTTGTCCCGCGCGCGCGGGTCCAGCTCTGCCACCGGCTGGACGCTCGGCGAGCTTGTGCCCTCGGATTTTTCCGCGCGCTGTGCATCTGCCGCGCGCCCCTGCGCTTTCGCGGTCGTGGGCTTGCCGCCCTTCCCCTCGCCGGGGGCTGCGGCGTTCTCGCCTTTGCCCGGCTTCCCTTTGGGCTTTCCACCTTTCCCTTTCCGCCAGTGCCATTGCTGGTCGTACCAGGCATCCCAATCAACATCGTCTTCTCCCCACCACCAGTCCACAGCAGCAGCGCGTTCTGTGGTCTGGGAGTCGGTAGTTTTCTTCCCTGCCCGTTTGCTAGCAGAGGTGCTCGCAACCGGGGGTGGGACGTCACTTTCGGCGTCTTCCTGTGTGCCCGCGCCCCGGGTTCTCTTCCGGTCTTGTGCTGTAGACAGAACGCTACTTCGCTCTCGTTTCCCGACCGGAGATGGAGCTTGCGCCGGCTGAGGAGGATACCCCGGAGGTGGAACTGGTGGGGGGAACGGGGGTGGGCCCGATGGCGCTGGGGGGGCAGGTGGTGGTGGTGCGTTGTAGCCCGGGTACCCATACTGCGGGTAGGGGGGGTACGGCGTCCCGTACGGCGGGGGAGGGTACGGCGGTTGTTGTGGTGGTGGTGCACCATAATAGTATCCCGGAGGCGGGGGTGCTGCGGGATACGGGTGGTAGCCGTACATTGTGTCTGGGCTTGTAGCCGGGGTGTGTTGCTTTTACAGTTGTCAAAGGTAGTGCTAGTGTTGCTCGCAGTGCAAGGAATAGGCTGGTGAGTAGTGCAAAGGTTGTCGCGTGGGGATAATGTCGATAGCAATACGCACAAGTGGAGGGCAGTTAGTAAGCGTTATCGTGCAGGAGCAAGTAATGTAATACAGTAGGTCGGAAGTGTCATAATTGAGAGTGGGTGTTGCAGTATGAGTGGTGGTACTGTGGCAGGATGAGTAGTAGGCTGTGACATTGTATATTGCGGACGAGCACGACAAAACAAGAATACTTCCTAGCCCCTAAAGTACTCTTGCCTACTTGGGTACACACACAATAGACATCCGACCGACCTATCTCTGCTGTTGAGTGCAGGCACAGACGCTTTCGACTCCGGTTTGCACGATATCGCGAGAGGTACGACAATAGCACGACAGGTACGATCTACATGTTGTACGATTAGGTGCGCTCTGGCACAGCGCACTTGCACCGACGGACGCGCGATCGTTGTACCGAGCTTGTGTTCCTTCTGGGCGAACAGAGCACCGGCATTCTAATAACTGTAGCTGATTTGGTGTCAGGCTGCTCCTACCGCGTGAGGTGGTGGCACCTCACCGCAGGATCTCCTCAGGCGTGGGCCTTCATCGGAGGGGATCTATCTTTATAAGATGAAATAGAAGACTCTTATAAATGAAATCAATGAGATTTTGATTTCAAATTCCCCATTGATTCGATTAAAGGATATTCATCGAAAAATTTTCATGATCAAAATAATTCATCCATTTGATGGGAGGGATTTTCATTCTTATGTGTTGGATGTGTTGGTATGTTTCATTCGGAACAGACAACAACAGATGATAAGGATATGGAGTTATTCTTTCGTTCTCATTTGTAGTGTTTTTCATTTTCTTTGGTTATGGGAAAATCTTCGGAATAGAGAAACCACTCATCATGTAGGAAACAAACATTTTGGAAAATTCGAAAGTTAGTCAAAATCAATGTTATCGTTACCGGCACACGATAAGACTTTTTAGAGCATTGATTTAGAATTAGAGCGCGTGTTCCGGATCCGGTCGGGTGAGGTCCAGGATTATGTCAGTATGCATAGGAAATTGCTTCAATAATTCATTTCGTGTCAATATTCAAGAGAAATCTATCTGTGTCCATGTTGTGGCCGTCATTCATTTTTCTTGTTGCATGTCTTACTGGGGCGGTCATGAAAAATGTGAGCCGTCCCTTCCTGAATTCTGATCAGAAGCATGACCACAATTGCATTCGACGTCAACATCTCATCATCGTAAAAATGTCGATTGGAGACCACCATTCATGAGATCGATTCTATCAAACAGTAAGTGCGAGGACCACTGACACCACAGAACAAGATCTCTCAACCCATACACAAAATCGCAAAATCTTCAAACTCGAAGCCCGGGCACACCGTGCAGCCAACGAGCGCCCAGTTGACGGAGGCGGTGCCGCTTTGCTGTTCTACTGGAGGACCATCAGCGGCCAGCATCCTGCTGCCAAAAATTTTTCCCGCCTTGACCGTGTGCTGTATTTTCTCCCCGTGCAGAATGTTCTTTCCTAGTCTTGTGATCGATACAGCATTCAATTTGCTGTTTTCTCTACCGCAATCCGGATCGATCTCCACGATTTCCAAAGTTCCGCCGGCGTAGTGATATATCCTGTGGAAACACGTAACTACGTATACGCCCTGGGGTTTGTCGAGACAAATCCCTGAAGTTTTCAGCATCTGCACCACGCATGATAGATAAAGATAATGAGGAATTCGGACATATTTTATTATTATGCATTCTAGTCGTTCTTCTTCTTACGCTTCGCTTGCAGAGGACGCGTCAGACACCCACTCCACTGCCTCAACATCCGAATCAGCCCGTGACCAGTTTTTTTCGTTCTTCTTCATGAGCACGGCAAGAAAATCATACCGCCTGTTGTGGAAACCTGCATGCGACCACACGCTATCTCTAGCGGTATGCGAATTTGGACTTATTACAACTCTGGGGCGTCGTGCGGTATTTACGTTTTTGCACAGGATATGGTGCCAAACTTCGTCATTCCCGTTGGTCAAAACGTGCAAATGCGAGCGGTCATTTTTTCCGAGGAGGAAATAAATCGCCGTGCCGCAGACCACCTGCTTGTCGCTCGTTCCGCTCCTAGACGAAACACTGCTCCGCCAGGTTTCCTTGAAAAAGCCACCTTCTGGGTGGGGAAGGAGTTCGAGGTGTTTTGCGACCTCCTCTTTGGTCAGCGACTCCAGGTCGATCTTGGTAGTATTTCGGACGAGGTGATTTTCACTTAAACCGTCTGTAGTCGACATCATCAATCTCTTGAATATCAATAAGTTCAGGTTACTGATTTATTGCAAGAGGACGACAAGCAAAGCTCAGGCGGGGGGAGGGTGCGATAACTACGGAAGATCAAAGCAACGAGAAAATGAACCCCGGCAGAACTACTTTCTACAACTTCTATCCGGCCATACTACTACACACAGACTCACAGGCCGTCATGGCGAAGAAGTCAAAAGCCACAAGTCGTGCCGACTTCGTACTTCGTCAGTTGCAACTGAAGTTGATGCTATTTCACTTGATAGATTTTTTGATGTCGTTATACATTCAGAATGTTCGAGCTCCCGAGATTGAGATTCTTGGAACTGCTCCTTGGCATTGGCATTGTTTGAAAAAAAACAATGGAACTGCAAACGAACGACGAAAAAGGACACGATTTACGAGAGCTGAGGCGAGCTGTGGCCGCCTGCACGACGAGCTCTCGTCGCTCTCTCTCAGTTCTCCCAAGCAACTCTACTTTACTTATCTGGTGTATATATTTTTTCTTCACAATGAAGAGGCTCCTCTGCACGACAATCGCGGCACGACCCAGGAATAGATCAACAAAAAGGTCCGAACATGTGTTTTTTCGGTGGAGTTAGCAACTTGACGCTGGCTGCTCGCTGTGCCTGTGTCTTCGATAATTTTCAACATCCGCTTTTATATTTCTTCCCGCCCATAGCCATAGCCATAATTTTCATCCGAGTTTGTTCACTATCATAATTTTTCCCCGCCCTGCGGCCTTCGTTGTGACTTCTGTACAACAGGGACCGAAAATATCCCTTGTAAAAACTTCCACCAGATGAAACTACAAAAATCATCCATGGACAAAGAATTCGTCCGAAACGGAAACGCTATAAGTGCTTTTGGTACAACGGTCGACGCCTTTGTCCGCCAAGAATCGCAGCTCTTACTACAATTTTCCTTTCGCACCACAAGGAGGAGCTGCTAGAAGAGCGACAGCACTTGCTACTTGCACTTCACGATCTTCATATATTCAATTTATCTTCATCGGACTCAGATTTCACTTGTATTTCTCATGCAACTCCTCCTGAAACCGTTCCAGCCTGTCTAACATGGGCACCAATTCTTCCTCCGGAGGCAAGATTGTCGTGCGGAAGTGGTTATGCATTGCAACAATATGATCGCGCTCGTGCTAATTGCGTTCATACATATGCAAAATTCGTTCTCAAGTCAAATCCGTATAATTGCATTGCTTAGAGTGAGGAAATTTGTCATGCGATTTACACTAGTACGATACTCTTGCACTGCATAGTGGTAGGTGTTTGCTTTCTGGCCAAAGCCGTTACCGGGTACGGTGATCAGCCCAAGCTGCTCTAAAAGTTGGATGCAATACCTGAGTGATAATTTCATATTTCTTGCATACTTACATCAAAATGGAAAGACATGATCCGTGCTTTGTTCAGGGATCTTGTTCCGGGAGGAGGACGAGCACAGCCACTCAACATCATGCACAACAACACCGCTCGTATAAAATTACATGTTTAGGAGCATCATCATGATAGTACGGGATTGAAGAGTAGATGTAGAAGACAACAACATCTTCGAGGACCACGACAACATATTCGAATTATACCACGTGTCGGGTTGCTTCCCCATTTTTTCCGCCTCGGCGCAGAATTTTTCCGGTAAATCCACTTTCGGAAAGGCGTACATCGCCCCCTCGATCGGCATGCAGTTCATGCCTTGCATCTGGTTTAGCCTTTCGTGCACAATCTTCGCTTTCCGCTTCAGCTGGCTCATCGTCGTACTTTTTTCCTTGTCGAAAAGCTCAAAACTCGGGTCGCTGGGATTTGGCGGATTCAGGACACCTGAATTTTTAAATCATGATAAACACAATCGTATAATTATCGGTCCTGCAGCATCACTACATTAAATCATAAGGCTGGCGGTCACCAAGAAATTTGTACCATACTAGTACGAAGGTTCTGATGCAGACGCCCCATACTGCTAGGACGAGCATCGAATAAGGACCGGACGTCGCACTCCCGCTGGTGCGGTATTAAGATAGCTAAAGTTCTTTTGGTTAGAGCATTGATGTTTTGGTTTTCCGTTTTTACTATGTAGAAGAGCATGCAGATGAACTAAGACTAACAACCAACGTTAATTTAAATACGAGGAAACGCAGAAGGACCAACAAGTACTTACTTGCGATCATCCCTTGGCCGATGGTGTTTGAGCAGAGGAACATGGAGCACAGCTTGTAAATCTGCGCGTGCACGTATGAGAGTGCACAACTCCCGCTCCTCCTCATTTGTCATGCAGAACTCCAAATCCAAGCGCTTCCCTTTGGCACTGTTTGCATGGCAGATTCCGGAATCCCAAGCAGTACTACTTACACTAAGTAGGCGCATGAATTTGTCATGCACAGGGTCGTCCACGTGTGCGGGTGTTTGTATTGCTGTTCATGCAATTATACAAATGAGGGGGAGCCAGGGGGAGCTGTGCACTCTCATAGCACGTCCTCGGGGATGTTGGTCAGGTGCATGTAGCCCCCGCGGAGCCCGCACTCGCCGTAGCATCAAATGTAAAAATGTCTGGGTCTGGAAACTTGTGATGCTGGGTGGCGTCTCATGATGAGGCCACAAATGCTGGCTCAGCATGACAAGTTTCTGAGCTTCTAGGTGTTGCCTATTCTGCATGACAAACTGCGTTTCTGCATCACAGGAAGATGGAGCTCTTGGGTTACGTGCATGACAGATTTAAGAGTCATGCCAGACAAGCATGACAAACATGCATTCTTCCAGACCCAGACATTTTTGCACTTGATACGTAGTAGCCTTTGCTGATGCTGTGGAAGCTGAACAGCTGGACTGCTTCCTTCATCTGCGTGTCTTCCGACTCCAGCAACACCTTGCGAAACGACAGGAACGGCTTGTCCGTTACGTTCTCGTACTATTGAGAAGAAAAATCCCCCCTCCCCATATTGAAAACGCACTCGTCTGAAAATTTGTGATGCAGATTTGAGGCCACAAATCCTGTCGGTCTTGCAAGAAGGCAAAGCCAGAGAGTCCGCCGCATTATGCCGGCGGTTTGCGATGCTGTTGGGCTTACAGAGCCGAAATCTGTCATGCTAGTCCCCTACGTCAAAACCTCTCGACCCATGCCTGGCATATGCCTTCAGTCCTCTCCAGCAAGACAGACCTGATTTGTGTACGCAAATCCAGCATCAGAAACTTCGTTTCGATATGGCTATGGGGAGGGGGGATTTTTCCCTTTGATACGTACACATTCTCCTGGTAAACCTCGTCCGCTAGAACTACCAGGTCGTACTTGTAGGCGAGCTTCAGCACCGCTTCGATATTTTCTCTGGACAGCACGTTGCCCGTCGGATTTCCCGGATTTATCACCGCGATGGCGCGCACGCGTTTCTTATCAAATGCAAAAATGTCTGGGTCTGGAAGAATTCATGTTTGTCATGCTTGTCTGGCATGACTCTTAAATCTGTCATGCACGTTACCCAAGAGCTCCGCTTTTCTGTGATGCAGAGGCGCAGTTTGTCATGCAGAATAGGCAACACCTAGGAGCTCAGAAACTTGTCATGCTGAGCCAGCACTTGTAGCCTCATCATGAGACGCCACCCAGCATCACAAGTTTCCAGACCCAGACATTTTTACATTTGATATTTCTTCTTGTCCAGCTCCTGCTGGATTAAGGTCTCCATGTTTTTTATCAGGGGAAAATCAAAAACCGCCTCATTGTAACAAGTGACTGCTCATCGTGTTGTTCCTTGCGATGGTCATGCGGCAGACGCGAGGACAGACACTACACGAAGTGGCTGTCTTGCTGTTCTAGGTGCACGAGTTGTAACCACCATGGTTCTTTCATTTAGCTGTGTATGTTTGATCATTGTTCTTTCATTTAGCCGTGTAGGTTTCATCCCTGCAAGCTTTGAGAGAACGCACGGCAGATTCATTTCTTTGTCGCGTGCAGCGGAACCTGTGAATTACGCGCGCAATTCGAATTCATCCAGCACATATTGAAGTCGCCACAGTCCTCACAATGAGACGCGGCTTTTGTAAGACGATATTTTGCAAGTCTAATCCCCAGGAAGGTTTGTCGCTATCATAGTCCTCTGTCATTTCGTACCCGACAAAACTGCCCCCCGTTCTGGCGATCGTGGCGGAATACAGTGGGTATTGTGGTATCGGGATCAACAACACATCGTTCTCGTCTTTTACCATCAGCTCGATCGCCGTCTTCACTGCGGGCGAGGCACCGTCGGTCAAGTAGAGGTGCTCGGTGTTTGTCCTGTTCGCTTCTTTGTTCAAATCTAGGCGTTTATGCAGTGCAAATGTATCGCAGTCCCAGTCGCACTTTGAGTAGAAATTGTCTAAATTGCAATTATACATTCTTCTCACAAGGAACAAACATGGAATTTCTAATGCTGCTTTCGCTTATTAAGCGTGGCGTTGCTTTGATGTCACAGTCACACATGATGAGTACAACTAGTACGGGTGCGATACTTTTGCACAGGATAGCCATCTCTTCTGTCAATGTAGTCGGCGACCATCTGCCGGAACAGCGGCACCCCCTTATGCCACAGACAAAGACAGGCAGGACATATTGATATTTGCCTACGCAAAAAAGATACACAAAAAAATCGCTCTTGCCTCGTGTGTTTAGCAGAATGCTATGGGGTCGTAGCCCAGTACAGATCTGTTTCTCTATTAATTTTTGCATTACAAGTGTGCCCTGCCCCTGGCCCTGCCTGTACTTTTCTGCGGGATAGCCCTTGCTGTGCGAGTACGCTCCGGGGTTCAGCGAGCGGAACTTCCAACCGCGCTGCAAAGCGTCGTCCGGAAACTGCTGGAGGCCGACCATCATCTCTGCCGACGGGTGCGAGGTAAGAACGGACAACACCTGCCGGTGAAAGGTTAATGGCTTCGCTCCGACTGCTTGCGGATTCCCGATGTTGCAGGGAATCAGTTTGGCAAAAGGGAAAGAGCTATTTGTTTGGTTCAGCGCATTTTTCTCTTCTTGTTGCAGTAGCTGTTTCGAAATCTGCTCTGCTCTTATGACCAATTCACCCCGAACTGCGTACTCGCTGTGAAGAACGTTGGGCGGCAGGTTTTTCGCGCTGAGCCCCAGCCTTGGAGCGAAGGATGGGGCGCGAAACATTCTTTCTTTAAAGATGGATCACAACTCGTCGAGCTCAAACAACGCAGCGGATCAAGTGTAAAACTTCTCAGCCAGGTGCGCCGTGGAGAAATAAAGGTCGTTACTCGTGTCGTCTTTTTGAGTAGTTCCGGAGTAATTTATATAGCAGGCTTTGATAAATTTATGTGGTTGTAACCAACATTTCTAGCCGCAGCCTCACTATCAAGTGTTGGTTGGTCCTGAAGGTAGGGGAAAGAGATCGAAGCGCGTCAGAGTTGGGAGGAAAAGAAGCGGCCAATTCTTGGCCATGGCTGCTAATGAGAGTATTTTGCTCATGTAGAAGAGTAGCACGACTATCAACCTACGGGGAAATTATGCTACATGTTGCTGGGAGGTGATATACGTACCATGGATTTTAACCACCGATGAATGTTGTTGCTCAGGACCGATATTTTTTGCAGTCATACTCTACTTGTACTTCATCTCGTCACAATTGAGGTCGCGATCATAGACTACAGACAAATGTTGCCGAAGACAGATCAGCATTCACACGACATCACACCACAATCTGCAAGAGGAGTAATTCATCGTGATATTGCTACAAGCCCACCTCCAGCATTCATCCCGGGGCAGCAACGCTGGACAACATTGGCAGCGCAGTTGGTTCGAAGGCACTTCATAGACAGACATCGAGGACGGGCCTCAAGAACCGCGAGACAGAAATCTTAGAGGACCGATTTTGAATGCCAGAGACTCGATTCTTTTACTTAGGTGGGTCGTTGAGAAGCTCAACCGGGCCCATGGAAATAGTAGGCACAAGAAGTCGATTTCGATCATGAAGACACATACACCATAGTTGTTGTACCATCGCACCATCAGTAGAACAAGGCAGAATTTCCCCGATGCAGTTTCTCCGGATGCGGCCCTATCTGTCCGTCCACAACAACAACGAACAACAACAAGAAGATTTTTTTTCTTTCTCAAAATTACTATTAAAGGCATTACTTTGTAGTTCTTCTCGTAGTTGGGTCATCGCCTGCTGCGTCGTCGTGATCATAGTACCAATAACCTTCTGCGTCGTGGTGATGTTGATAGAAATCATGAATTTTTTGGATTGATTTGTCATTACAGGTGGAAGGGCAAGGACCTCCACTACGAGCGTATTGGTCGGTGTATCATCTATATACCACTCCACTTTCATAAACTTCTTGTCTATGTCATCTTCCTCATTCTCAGCGTCGCGTAAAGAAATTTGTCAAATGAGCAGTCGTTCTTCTTGACCACAATGTAGTCCTCGAGAATGATGTCGTGATGTCGTGTGAAATCCTCGTCTTTATCCAAGTCGCATCTCTATTTTCAGTAGTAGAGACACCTGCGCCAGATCACAATTCGTCGAGAAATATTAACCTGCGCCGTTCGTGTCGTGCGAAAATATTAAAACCTTGAAAGTACTTAGATACAAGGCATTCTTTGTTTGGTCGTAATAGAAATAGTTGCGAACCGGAGTCGCTGAAGCTTGTTGGTTCATTTTGAAATTCATCGTCCTGGAAGTCGAATAAAACAGCGAGCAAGTCCGACCGGCAATATCCTCACAGAGGATGAAACACAACTCTACGCTGCACCATTGACAGGAGGCGTTCAACGACACCAAGGGAAATTATACCAGAGAGCTTTTTTTGCAACGAACTGCATCCACACGGCAAATAGATCAGAGCCGATATTGTATTCACGGGCTCGATCATTGCGTGTAGTGCTTCATCTGGATATAACTACCCCGGACGTCGGGGAACTAGCTGCACGAAAGGGCAGATGACAGGCTGTGGCGGAGAAGAAGCTCACCCGATCGGATACGCTAGTCAAACAAGTCGGTACGTACAACTTGAAGGTTTTTCGCGAAGGAGTAAATTCATTGTGATTTGCGCCGTCGGAAAGGTGCACAAGGCCTCCAATGATCGCACGCCCGCACGAGCTGTGGGCGGGTTTGCACTAGTACCTGGACACGAATCCGATGAACCCGAACCAACAATAAACCACATGGTTGCCCTGTAGTATTAAATAAAACAATCAAGTTGTTGTTGGGGTTCTCGTTCTTACCTGAAGCTGGAGATTACAGTGGTCGCGTATCTTTGATGCTGAAGCGAAGGGAAGGTTGTCGCGAAAAAAGATGCGAAAGGGTAAAAAAGAATCGCTCGAGGTGTCGTACAAAAACAAAATTCAGACGTATGGATTCAATTTCGTCTGTTTGCTGGTGATAGTAGATACAAGTACATTATGACTTTTGCTTATTCCTACAAATCTAATCGTAAAAGTTTTTTCGTTGTAGCCATTCATTTTTCAAAAAAGAAGCACATAAAGAAAAAAAAGGCGAGTATTCTAGGGTTGCGAGCAGTTGACGTCCAGCATCGTCGAGTTATTGATCAATCACGATGATCAGCATCTTCACATGAAGAAGTGCGAAAGTTTTCTGCCATGAAATAATTGTCGTCGAAACTTCGAGATAAACCAAATGTCTTACTCGCCACGTGACTTTGTTTTGCGAGTAGATCATTCGATTTCTCGACCTATTACGCTAGTAGTGAGTCTTTAGTTACTGCTTCGCATCATATTGTGCTATTAACTAGGCTAAAAATAATCTCGTTGTTGTTTTATCTGCTCACATGCAGTTTCCCTTATTCTATCATCGTATTCAGACACTTCGACCTATTTGACATGTAATTACCTGTTTGCTGTTTTATCGAGTTTTTTCTTCAATATCTTGATACCATCTGCTCCCCTTTGTTCGCAGAGTTCATGTTCTATTTTGGTATAATAATGTTCAAGACGTAGGGTGGAGGACCCGGGAACAACATTTCTGTTGAAGTTTTTTCTTTGCGAGGATACAAATAAAGCGGCTCGCGGTTTCACTTCCGCCACGACGTGTCTGCGTCCGCCCGGGAGAGCTGGTCTGGTCGGCTGAGTGAGGGGTATTCCTGCTCATTCAAGTGCGGCTTGTTACTCGCCGCCCCGGGGTGCTCCGGGCTCTCGCCCTGCTTCTTTGACCACGCAGAGGCTTCGCTGGCGGCGCTATTGGACGCTGTTTGGTGTGGAAACGGAAACGAATTTAGATAGTAAAATCAAAAGTGAGCATAGCATTCATCATGGAAAATAAGTTGCTCAGCTTGGGAGTGCATGAATATTTCAGTATCAATATTTACCGAAATTTTTTTCATCAAACTGGAACTCCGTGTACTTATCTTAAGGTTAAGTATGGAAAACATGGCGGAGTAGATCATGAGTATGCTCGATTTTCAATACTATAAAACTCTTGTTGTAAAAGCAGAACTTGAAGAACTAGAAGTACCCCTTCCCCTTTCTCGGTCTTTGCGCTTTTTTCCGCCACCCCCGCCCGTGTTGGTAGACTGTTGCTGCTTTTCCCACTCTTCCCACTCCCAGTCCTCATAACCCTGCCAGTTCTGCCCACTGTAAGACTTCTTCGCTTCGCGACCTAATAGGGAGTTTGTCGAATATTAGGCAAGCAAAGCAATTTCTTTCATGTCAAAATAAATTCAAGATTAAAGAATTTCTAGTCGAGCGCCACCTGCGGCAATGATGTGAGTTTATAATGTACTATGGGGCAGTAGTAGTTGAAAAATCAAAATTAATAAGTAGGCCCGTAGTAGAACCCCTTGTACATACTACAGGAGCCAATGAATAATCGAGATCTACTTCGAGCATCAGTCTCGCCTTTGCAAATTCTCACCTGCCCCCCTGTTCTTGGAGTTTTTCTCTTTCGTGCCGCTTCTCCTGCCGCCTCCGTCCTTCGCCTCGCCGTCTTTGTAGTTACTATCTTTGGCGTTACTCGCACCTGCTCCGTCGTCTAGGTGCTTGGGATGTGGGTCACCTCCAGAGAGCTCCTTGTAGCTATTGTCCCCCGGAGTGGTCGCTGCGTTGTTGTTTGTCGTGTTTCGGGAAGATTTCTGCTTGTCGTTAAACTGGCTGTAGCTGAAGGTTTTCTGGGGCAGTTCGGTCGTGCTCGCAGACGTCGTTTTTGTCGCGTCCACGGTCTGCTTGCTACTGCTGCTCTCTCCACCTGGCGGCTGGTTGGGCGGCACCGTGGTTCCGGGGGTGGTAGCAGTGGCCGGGGACTGGGGAGGCCCGTCTTTTCTGTAAATTGTTTGAAACATGGTGGAGTAGAATGAACTAGAGGTTCTGCAGCTTGGTGTTTTTCGTACCATAATCAGGATGTTGACCACGAGCCTCAAAAGCAAGGCATGTCATAATAATTGAGACAGGTGAAGATGACCTAGATGAAGAATATTCCTTCATAATAGTACCTGTCCCACCACCTGGCTAGGGGATCGTCTGGAGGCTTGTCGTATCAAATGCAAAAATGTCTGGGTCTGGAAGAATGAGAGCTTTGTGGTGCACATATTGCATAACCCCTGATGCCTGTAATGCATGACCTAGCATCACAGATTTTTATTGGGCTTCCTGATGCGTACTCCGCATGAGAAATGCCCTTCCCGGATAGCGCAAACTGGACTCCCCTTACTGGTCATGCAATACAGAACTTTTTAGAATCCAAAGACAGCATCACAAGTTTGCATTCTTCCAGACCCAGACATTTTTACACTTGATATGTCGATGGGCTTTGTCCTAGGCTTCAGGTTCAACCGTGGGCGGGAACCGGGCGGCGCAGTCGACGCTATGTCCGTTGGAACTTCGCTGCCGATATCTGAATTTCATTCGATGCAGCAGTGGTGATGGGACTGCGACTGTCAACATGCAGCGAAACTAATGAGACGACTAAGACTTCTAAACTGTCATGCAGTTGTGATAGCATACCTCCACAACTTCAAATTGCCACATATAAATCTTCACAACGTCGCTATTTAGCAGTTCTCAATACTGCTGACGGAATCGCCACCGCCGCCGCCATAATTCTGTTGCTGGCCGCGGTTAAACTCGGGTGGGCTTTGTGGGTTCGTGTGGTCCCAATACGCTTTGCTTTTACCACCTGATTTTTTTTTCAACGGACGATAGTACTTGTGTACGATAGTACTTGTGTACTATTGATGATGGACGACCGTGCATCTTCACAAACATACAAAGACAAAGTCAAAGCATGACTTGCTGGTGCTGCACGTATGCGAGAGTGAGAGAGCCCTGCGAAGTTTCCTGTCTTTGCCTTATTTCAATACCTGAAGAGCGACCTCATTTTTTCTGAAACTTGTACTATTCATTAGGAGACTACAAACGCAAACTCAAACATCAGAAAGTCGACGTAGGTATTAATCCACCCCGGTCTACTTCTTCGTGAAAGTGCAGAACTTCATCTGTACCTCCCTTCGGCCCACCCGCGTTTGACGGTTGCGAATAGCCCCCGCCTCGCGCATTTCCAGCAGCTGCGCCGCCGTAGTTATCTTTGGTCCCCGCAGTGCCCGCCCCGTAATGCCCGCCGTCTTTGTCTTTTGCAAGGCCCTGTCCGCCCCCGTAGGCGTTGTCTTTGTTATGCGCCGCGCCGGCGCCACCGCCGTAGCCACGGACATCGCCACCGCCATAATTATTGGCGTTATTACCACCTCCGCGGCCTTCGTAATTGTCGCTTTGCCCCTTGTTGCTGTGGTATTTCTCCCCCCGACGAGGCCCCTCGTCGTAACCTGTAGTAGGGTTCGTTATGTGGTGGATAAATCGGGGATGTTGCAGGAATGGAAAAGAAGATCAGCATTCGGGAGGTGTGAAAAAAGTCGCAAAGAGAAACGAAAAAATCTGCAACGACCTACGACGATGGAAGAAACTACACAACAAAGAGACCTCCAACTACATCTTCACGATGGAAGGGACGATAGCGAATTTGCCTCCAGTTTGGCTTCCTTGTTGTTAGTTTTTCGTTCGATATTGGATTCGCGCCTGGCAACTGAGCAGAAGTTTGATGTTGATCTTGTCATATGTCATTACAAAATTTTGTTGTCTGTCTCTGTTCGATCGTTCTAGAAACTGGGAGTAGGACGAGATCTTTGAGTGAGTAAGAGTATCTATGTGACTCTGCAGATGAAAAAACCTTCACATCTAGAACCTCGTTGGGTTTTGCATCAGGTGCGTGAAATCTCAGCAGGCCCAAAACTGGCCTGCAGTTCTGGATCTTGCAGTGATCTTAGACGATACAGCCTGTCGTGGGATCTTGATCATGATCTTCAAACAAGATCTGTACTTATCTATAGAGGATCCTGAGATCTGCCTTTCTCGTGTGGGGTTTTTGCGAGCCTGCCATGCTTTCTTCCTGTACTTATTTATTGTCCGGAAAGGCGAAGGGCCGTATTCGTATTGAGTTTGCGGTAGAAGAAGTTCTGAAGACGCATCGTCTAAGATGAAACAGCACGTAAAAACAACGTAAAGCAAAAACTACCGAGAACAAAAGTACAAAAACACAGCTGTGGTCCTCTCGTTGGGACGAGTGACATGGACTCTCTACTTTTAATATGAGCAAACAAATCTACTAGTGTAATATGGACTATAATTCGCACCAAGGCCCCCGCCGCCGCCACCCATGCCGGCTGCGTTGCAGTGACTCGACCTCCGTTGCTGGTTGTAATTAGTCTGGCTGCTCCAGTTGCAGTTTGTATTTCCATGATTTGAAGATCCTCCTCCAGACGGCATATAGTTGGTCCCAAACCATTCCCTACCCCCTTTCGGCGTTGCAGGGGGGGCATTTACAAATGTAGTTGTCCCGGCGCCGCACTCGGTGTGCTGGGATGATCTTCGCGGATGTACTATTTGCGCACTAGCAGTGGTAGCATTTGCACTCCCATTGCTCGTGCTGGTCCCACCAAGAATTACGTCGTATTTGTTGTTACTCGTAGAAAGTATAGTTCCAGCTGCACCTCCCTGACTCTGTTGCGTCGCAGCGGCCAGAGCTCTCTGGTGCTCGTTGACCATGCTGCAGCCGAGATCTGCGTATTCGAAGATCACGCCGCTCATTTTGCGGTCCATGATGGAGGCGCCAACAGCGTAGTCCGCCGGCGGGTTCATTCGTTCGTACAGCGACGGCCGCCCCGCAGAGGCCGGGTAGTTGGACCACATCGAGTTGCTGCGCCCGGTAACTACACTGGCCCGGTCCGGGTGGGGTTGTTGTACTTGTAGGGGAAGATGTTGGCGCTGGTGTTGTTGAGCACCAGAAGTAGTGGAGGTGGTCCTGCTTGTCGCTAAAGCCGCATGATGAGTCGTGTTGATGTCCTCGCACTGAGCAGGACCCGCGCCGCCCTTGGCGGCCGCTGCGGCGCCCAATGTAGTTGAGGAACTCGTCGGGTAAAAATCATGAAGATTATCTCCACCGCGAGTGGAAGTTCTTGCGCATGAACTGTTGCCGTAGCCACTCTGATGATTGATTCCCTGCTGCTCTCCCCGCATCAAGTCGCGGCCTGAGGAATCATTTTCGTGAGAAGTGCCGTAATTATGATGCGACGATCTGCGGGGGCCGGGGCCGCCCGCATTGGGCTGGTGGATCGAAGATGAAGTCGTATCATTCTTGTTCACAGAGCTACGACTTACTGCGCTGCTACGACCGGGCGGGCCACGAGTTGTAGCACAGGAAGATGAACTCTGGTGGAGCTCATAATTGCTTTCACCCGCCACAGCAGGAGCAGCTCGTCCTTCGTGCAGGTTTTTACTGTTTTCATCAACTATGTCCTCTCTGTGCAGCCACGAGCTATCCATTGCATTGCTTGTTGCAGCTCCAATTAGTCCTATATGCTGATCGCCCCCTGGAGGCCCGACGACCCGCGTCTCTCGACCGTGGTAGCTACTGGCGCCCCCGTGGCTCTGCGGATACGTCGACGTGTGATGGCTCGAGCGCCGCGGATGGTCGCCATCAGTGGTATTCTTTCCAGCACCCGCGGTCGTGGCCATTTGTTGATGATCCGCTCCTGCCGAGGACGCCCCGTAGTCAAAGCTCGAAATTTGATTTTGCGACTGCAGCATAGTACCTGAACTATCGTCGTGAGCATTGCCACTGGACGGCATAATATTTTTACCGCTGCCGCCGCCCTTACTTGCGGTCGTTGAGTTCTTGTGGGTAATGTGGTGGTCTCCTCGCTCATGGTTATATCCCGCTGCGTCAGTAGTTGTGCAGCTGTTCGTGTTGCTTCGGCTTCTCCCAGGAAACGCTCCAGAAGTCTTATTGTTCCGTTGGCCGCCCTGTTGTTGCTGTGACAGCCACTCCGGACAGGGCTGCGGAGTCGTGTTTTTAATCGGATTCGGCGAAAATTTACTGTACTGCTCATTGCCACTGTACGTTGACCACGTCCGGCCCCGCGTGTTGTTTAATATCCAGTGCAAATATGATGCCTGGGTCGTCTACGAAAGGTTGCAAGAACTTGTGAGGCTGCCTTTCGATTCAATCCAAAGGCATGACCCGATTGTTCCAAGAAAATCTTGTGTATTTTTGCATGACCAGCAGAAGGAATCCAGCCGGTCATCGTACGCGGACGAGAGGGCATTTCTCATGCGGGGTAGCGAACGAGTTCGAGAAGCCTTGTAAAAATTCGATTGAGATACATCACGGTAGACGTCATGGGTTATGCAAAACGTGCATGACAAAAGTTGCACTTGTTTTCTAGACCCAGGCATGATATTGATATTGCCGGAGGATACTGTAACTGTTGTGGTTGTGGCAATTGTAGCCAGAACTACCTCCTCCGTAGCTACCTCCAGAACCGTAGCTACTGTTAGAAATGTTGTTACCCGGCGGGGCGGTCGGACCTGCAGGGGGTTTATTATGCCCGGCTCCACTACTGTGCTGGCTGTGCGCGCCGCCGCCGGCCCCCCAGTTTTGGAGCTTATTGTAATTCTGAACACGGTCTTGATAGCTGCTCGGGTGGACGAGGTGGCTACTATGAGTATGATTTTCTCCAGATGAGTTGTTCATCTTTGATATCGCGCTGCTCGCGTGGTCGTTTCGGCCCATGATTCCGTGAGTGTGGTCCACGTTGTGACGTGGATTAAATTGCTGGTGCTCACCAGCCTGGGCCCCCTGATGCAACTTAGAAGCTCCCCCTCCTGTGCAGCCGGGGGCTGTGCCTCGCTGATGCACGTCTCCGGCTCCTCCCGAAGATCTAGTACACCTCCCCGCGCCGTCCTCCTCGCTGCCTTCAATCGGACTCAGTCCGCTGGCACAAGTTTTCAGCAGCGCGCCCAAGGCGCCGGCAGAGTCGTTCGGATGCTGGGCCATCTGGTGGGTGAGGGTCTGTAGAAACAGTTGATCCTCTAGGCGCAAAGTGGTTTTCCGCGCGATACACGTCTGGGGCGTCGGGGGTAATTGATGCGCAGCCGTGCGATTCGTTTCCGGAGTGATCCGCGGGATCAAATGCTGAGCAGCCCGGTCGGGTCGGGGCAGCGGCGTTTGCGCATCTAAAAGATAGTCGAAAAAAGATACAGGATGTAGTAAAACAAGTAGAGCATGAAAAAATGAAGACCATGACCTCCCGCACGGGGACCCACAGGGTGGCCATAAAATGAGTGTCATTTTTTGTAGTACCAACACAGAAGAGAAGATCACGGAAATAGGTGAAGATAGGTGATCTTCTTGTTCTCATCGGTTTGGTCTGAGGGTGGCACAGGAACAGAATCCACCTCATTTGATCTTCTGTCAAGAGCCCAATTACATCCCACTGGAGAGATGAATAGTCATCTTTTAGGTCGTGATCCTTGCAGGAGCCGTGTCTAGAAGTGCGGATCAAAAATGAAAAACGAGGACAGATCTTTCTAGGTTGCTAAAAATGATATTGCAATATCGATTCAGCTCTTCGTTTTTACTGCTTGCTTCCCCAGCACGACGTGTAAGTACTTGTAAAAGATGGGGTTAGAAGAAGATTTACGATCCTTCGTGTAGTCCTGTCCCCGACCGTCCCCTAGAGCTTCTTTCCTCCCAGTCTGTTGTCGTGATTGTGGAACAAACCGTGTGTAAAAGTCTGATGTTTGTACCTGCTCCCGCCGAACTGCTCCCGTATTTGTCGTATTTTGACGATTCTTTGCCGCCGCCCTTGTGGTCGCGTCGGTCGCCTTATGCACTGCAAAGAAAAGTATCTTCGCACTCGTTGCACTATTTATTGCTGTAATTTTATCGCATGACAGATCCTACAAATTCAGCTTTTCATTCTGGAAAAACTTGCATATAGAAGATACAAATTATATTTACATTTAGTACAACAACGAAGATGCTTGTTTTGCGATGCATATGTCCCTGCCGCCCTTGTCGTTCCTGTCGCGATCTCCCTTAAAGTTGTTCCGGTCGCCGCGTCGCTGATCGCGCGGGTCACGATCGTCGCGGTAGGGATTATGCAACACGAATTTAGACGATTTGTTACGACCGTTGTACGTAGTACAAGATAGAACATATACTTACACGTGACAACGACAAGTTGAACAAAATACACAACCAGACTTCTCGTTCTCATGCTGAATCAGGTGGGCAGAAGGCGAAAGGCAACATTTTGTGCAAAATTATGCGCATTAGAATTCTCCGACATAAAAATTACACCGGAGATAGAAAATTTAGCTAGATTCGTGTATCATATCGGTCATTGTTCCCCCGGTCGTTGTAGTTGTTCTGTTTCGACGAGCTCGCTCCGCCTTTGCTGTACGACCCGCCGCCCGCAGAAGATTTATTTCTCGACTCCTCGAAAAGCTCGCTCGGGAGCTCCACCAGCGTCTCGTCTGCTTTCACGATGTGCGCAGTCGACCTGGTCGGGTCGATGGATTTATTCAGGGTGATCGGGGAAAACTTCAGCGCCTTCTGAAATCCCTCCTCGGACGCCAGCTGGACGGGGATTATCCCATGAGCAAAAATGGGGGTCCCACCCTGGTAGACTTGCCATGCAGATTATTGCAAGCCTAAAATATTTCTCATGCGTAGCGGCCCCATGTTGAGGCCCATTCTCTAGTCGGGTTCGTTGTGTCGGGTGGGGACCCATATTTTCCTCAGGATAGTGATGCAGACCTCTTCTTTGGTTCGCGCCTCCGCCGTATCAAATGTAAAAATGTCTGGGTCTGGAAGAATGCAAGTTTGTCATGCTTGTCTGGCATGACTCTTAAATCTGTCATGCACATTACCAAAGAGCCCCACTTTTCTGTCATGCAGAAACGTAGTTTGTCATGCAGAATAGGCAACACCTAGAAGCTCAGAAACTTGTCATGCTGAGCCAGCAATTGTCGCCTCCTCATGATACGCCACACAGCATCACAAGTTTCCAGACCCAGACATTTTTACATTTTATACGCCGTTTTTCCTCGCCGGACCGAACTGTTCTATGAATTGCAAAAGTATTGTACTCGTATAAATGCATTACAAATTTTCTCAGCATGAGAGAAAAAATTTGTAATGCTGATTTACCTTAAGAAAAAGATTTGTAATGCATGACTGCAATACGAGTGCGATACTTTTGCACAGGATATGTTCTCCACCGGTTCGATGCCGAAATTCCGGAGAAAACGCTCGATGTCATTCCCCGTCACGGACAGGGCGAGGTTCCAACAGTCCACCGGGTAGGACACATTGGACTGCGAGACGGAGGTCTGTGAAGGTTTGTTCTTTTATTGCATATTCATTTTCATCTCAACAAGACGAGGAAAAAATCAGTAGACACAAAGACAATCTTGATGTTGATCTTCTATTCGAAGCAGAGGGCATGATTACTATGGCTCGATACTACAGAAAGCATGAAACAAGTCTGGCTCTATAATTATACATCCTTTGAAGCTTTCCCGGGGACCGGTTCCGAGCTGAGCTGAAAGTCAGGCTTCGTGTGGAGACTGGGTAGCGGCTCCAGCTCCGGACTTCCCAAGTCTTCGCTCTCATCGGCCCAGCAGCGCCGTGGCTTCGCGGGCGTAGCCATGCTAGGCTTGGTATGATCGGTAGCAGGGAGAAAGAAGAAGTAGAGTCTCCTGCTTTTTTATCGAAAATTATCCAGGTCGCGGACGTCTTGCTCTTTATTCGGTCTTCTTCACTACACTTGGCGGTAGCAGTGCTAGTAGAGAAATTGCTTGAGCTAGTCGGAGGTCACAAGCGTGACTCTGATTCGCGTTTCTCTTTCTCTTCGTTCAAAACTTAAATTTTGTTGCGCCGGACCGTAGATGTGGACGCTTATTCGCGAGCGTCCACCGTTGTATTTATCCGGCAATTTCTAAAGCTCCAAAGTGCGGATGAAAGGAAGCAAATCTCTATTGCTCGAGGTTGCTTTCGCCCTGCCACAGCCGGAGCGCGGCGCCCATCTTGTGCTGAAATGTAACTTAGGTGTCCAAAATGCTTTTTTTGTTTGAGTTTTTCAGTGTATCTCTATCGATCCGATCAAATTGGCTGTCGAACTTCAAATGTGATTTAGCGGTAGGGAAGATAGCGTTAGCGGAGAAACGAGAAGAAACAATTTTTTGAAGGAAAGTGGTCTAGCTCTAAGCTCGAAAGAAAATAATACTGAAACGACAAACTAACTACAATGTCTATACTAAAACTTTGTTGCTGGTGACTCGTCCACGACATTCTCTACAGATACTGATCGGCTAAGCGTCTCGTGAAATTTCTCTTACTGTCTTATGCCGTGAAGATAAATGAACTACTCGCTCAAGGTCTGTATCGCAACCAATGAAACTTCTTCTACATCACAACAATACAGGTTTTGGCTGGGAGAAGCGTATGACTCTGCCGCTTGTTGTTATGTTATTGTTACTCGAAGGACGATGAACTCGCGTGAAATAAAGCTAAAAACTATATTAGGACTCATGTACAGATTTTCTATCCACCTATATCTTACTGAAAAATGTATATTGAAACTCAAAATCAGCCGGAAAAGGTCGCCGTTTTGCGATACTCAGCTAGAACTTCTACGTTCAAGTTTGAGTACTTTCTCATATCGTTTCCCTGAATTTATTAGAAGTGAGACAAGAATGAAGTGCGAGTCGGTAATATCTGATGCAAAGTGCTCGCTATCTTGTTATTTTCTTCATCATGGTCTTCGTTCTACATTACTTATTTCGCAATTGCAAGTGGAAAATCGATCGCACATTAACGTAGAATTGATCTTAATCAAAAATCACAGTCCTGCGTTTTGATCCGCAACGTTGTAAACAATAAACTTCTGTTTTTCATCTGCATCAGCATCTCCTAGCCCTAGTAGGTCCCAAAACTTCTCCACTACGTACTTATTTAGTTTTTACTTTCCTTACTTCCACACTTACTAGGGCGCATGCAAAACCTGATCTTCATAGTATTACACCAGAGCACAGAACTCGGTCGTGGGGATCGATCAGCGACGGAGGATGTGGCAAAGAAGCATCTCATGCACCTCTTTTCGGTTACTTAAATGCAGTGCTTTCATCGTTCTTACTTTACTGTCATTTCAAAACCAACATCGTATTTGTTTCGTAATTTTTCATTTTCTTGGAAACGATAACTCACTGGTTTCTTTTTTGTTTCATCATCTTTCGTTTCTTGCAGTAGTTGCTATTTTCTTATCATACATGGAGGTCTCATTTCTAGCAAGAGGCCTTTCCTTTTGGCCTCGTAGGATGCGTTGTCAATGAGCTTCGGTGGGAACCTCAGCGGTGGAAGCAAAAACCCACATTGCACTGGATTGATTCTGTGGTACTGAACTGGTATTTTTGCGTGGTTGTGAAGATGAGCCAAGTTGTTTATTCCCCCCGCCTCTGTTTATTCCACCCCCGCCTCTATCTCTGAAACGCGTAACTCCTTTTCCCGGCCATTGTGACATGCGTGAGGACGAACAGAAACAAGCCAAAACCAACGCAAGCGGCTGCCGCGTAGTGCGTGGACAAAGTCGTGTCGGTGTTGTCCAATCCGAAAACGGCGGACAATACTGCCGTCGTTAACAACCCGATCGTTGCTATGGTCGGCGAGGTGAGCAAGATCCCCCAAGCCCACAAGTAGTGGGAGAAGAAGGAACTCATGACACTGAACAGAAACAAGTTGGAAAGCAACTCCGTGTTCTTCTCGTCGTCCTGGGCGGCGATGAAAATCTTTTCCCAAAAGCCGCTGTCGCAAATACTGATCAGAGGGATGCCGATCGCGAGAACATACAACCCGATATATCCTGTTGAAAAACATCCCCACCCATAGCCGTCATGCAAATCTGCATGCTTAAAATGTCTCTCATGCGGAGCCCCATGAGACACGTTTTGTAAGCACTACTTTTAAATTTGTGATGCTCGAATCAGCACGAGGGGCTAGCTTTGTGATGCTGCTGCACTCGCTAAACCCGATTACACTGCGAGCCCAAACCTGTAATGCGCAACCGCCAAAGCTTGTTGATTTGTATTGCAGATTTCCGAACTCGACTCTGGTGTGGGGACGTTTTTACATATGATACGATATACCCGAGAAAGATCACCGGGTCGCGGACGTACTGGGTGATCAAAATCGCGTAGATCGCAAAAAGAAACGCCGAGGTGGAGGAAAAAACGGTCTGCGGCTGGTGCGCAAAAACCCCAAGGCTGCACAGGACGACGGCAAGCCACTTCCGGGTCTCCACCTCCTCGCCCAGCCAACTGATCGAGAGGAAGTAGACGGAAAGAGGCGAAAAACTCGAGAAAACGGCGGAGTTGGTCAGCGGAGAGAAAATGTGGGGCGAGTCGATGTTTGGGATACTGCTGGATTTATTCTCGGAAGATTCATTTTGGGGCGGTTGGGTCTCTGATATCTCGTCTTTGCTTCCTCCGGCGTGCTTCTTGTCCTCCGTCGTTGCTCCGGTTCTCGATAGTTTAGTTGTTGTTCTCGCACCAGCAGTTTTATTGGAAGTTGTAGCTGTTACCGCAACCGTACTATCGGAAAAGAGTTTTCGCTTCACAAACGCAGACATTGACAACCAGGCAGACTCGAGACGGCTGGTTAAACTAGCTGGCGCTGGTGATGTTGAGACGGACGAGTCGTGTGGCATACCAGTAGTACTGCCTTTCTCTTCTTCGCCAACGCCTTTCGCGGACGGTTTTCTGTCCTGCCCACGACGGGGATCATCGGGACCAAGAACGCCAGCAGGAGTAGAAGTAGCTCTCGACCCGCTTTTTATCGCGGTGCTCAGAAAGCTCAGCTTCACCAAGTTGGTTGTACTAGTAGGTCCGGCAACGTCGATAGGCAGCTGCTCTCTAGCTTTACCATCTGCGATCGATTGAGGTTCCTGTGTAGTTTGCCCGCGTGTTGCTGAGACCTTCTCAAAGGAAGCATAGTCATCCACATCGTCGCTCCTGTAGGGGTCGTGATCACCTCTAGTTTCACCGACAGCAGCTTTAGTCGGATGAAGTTGTCCCTTCTCCTTCTTCACCCCGCCCGCCGGCTTTATTCGCGTCAACGGCGCCACACTCGCCAAGTACGCCGTTTCCGCTTGCAGCCCCAGCCATTGCGCGAGCAGCAAAATCGGCGCGATCAATGCAATCGTCACGTACACCGGCGCTGCCAGTCGGTAATTGTAGTTCCACAGCAAGCTTGTGAAACTGGGGGAAGTAGTGGTCATTCTCATTCCGCTTCGGTTGACGCTCCCGGGTGGTTTATCATTTAAGAATTCATGTTCGACCTCGTCAATTTCAACAAAATCCAAGTCAACATCTTGTGCAGCTCCTTGTTCCCCACCACCACTGTCCTGCTCCCCTTCTGCATTTGCAAAGCTTCCCGTCGCCTTCCTCAAATAGTACTGCGTCACTGCTTTCAACCGTTCCGGGTGCAATGGGGTGAGAAGCTGGCCTAGGGGATCGGAACTAGCGAGGGAGCTGCTGCTGCTTTCTTGTTCTCTGGAAGTAGAAGATACCGACAAATCACTGCTGACAGGAAAACGCGGGGGAAGAAAATCCACTGCAGTTCTTGGTGCAGACAAAAACTGCCGGCCCGGGGACGTCGAGAGAAGCGCGCGCTGTGAAGGGTTGCGTGTGCCGTTGGCGGCTTGTAAAAAAAGTGTGTTCTCGTCTGAGGAGGAAGAAGAGGAGAACTTGTAGTATCCGTCTGGTTCGTAAAAATTAGAAGCGCCCTCTACTTCCACATTGTCCACATATTTGTCCGCACGTGGTTCATTATCGGTAGCTGCACCAGTTGCGGGGTTATTTAAGATTTGAGCAGCTGCAGCTGTACTTGGCACAAATGACGCTCTTGCCGGCGCAGAGGGTTTCGATCTGTCTTGGTCTCCTGTTGATTCGTCGTTGTAGTAGAAGAAAGAACTCTTCGCAATTTCCTCCGCGTCTTCGACGAGTAGGGCTAAAGATCGCTTTTTCGTTTTACCACGGCCTGCTCCGACTATGTTGGTCCTGCTGTATTGGTGCTGTTGCTTCGCGAAGATGGCACTATTCTCTATTTCTCGATCGCGAGCGAGGTGTAACGCCAGCTGCTGCGTCTCTTCTCCAGCAGCACTATCATCACTGGCAGGCTCCGGGTAGAAGTGAACGCGCTTCTCCGGCGGCGGCGGCTTAGGGTTACTAGCAACCTCCGCGTTCTTAGCCTTTGCTTTGTTCTTCCTTGCTCTCTTGCCCCTGCGATTTTTACCCGTCGGAGTGGAAGATGAAGCTCCAGCGCCTGCTGTACTCGAAGCTGCTTTTGGTGTGACGCCAGTGACAGCAGCAGGTGCAGGTGGTACTTTCTCCGTTACTCCCGCGCTTGCCTTCGTGGAGTTCCTTTCCTGTCGCTTCAAAATGGACCCGAGTGGCCGGCGAGCTCCAGCGGAATCCGAGTCGGAGGAGCTGAAGGCAGCGAGGGCGGCTGCTGTTCCGGAAGGTGTGTCGGTGTCGGAAGAGCTGAGGACGAGATTTTCATCGTCTGCTAAATCATCCTGTGTGTGTGCAAGAAGAACTGCTGGGTTAGTAGAAGAACTGGAGCTTGATGCGGCCGACGCGCCAGGTACAAAAAGTTCTTGACTTCTCAATCTTCTTTCCTCCCTTTTCTCCTCCTCCTTATGCTGCTTTTTCATCTCTCCAAAATCCCCTCGCGGCGTCGCCCCACTGCTTGTGCGCTTGTTGACCCGGCGGCGCCAAATGGGATCCGATTCCGAGATGGAGAGCTCGTCAAGCACTACGTCCGAGCCCGCGGCTTCGCCTTCCGCATCTAGTGCGCTTCTTCGTGCACCAGTCATGGCGGTGGAGTTGTTACTTCTCCTGTAATCAGCAAGAACCGCCGGCGACAATTCTTCTGATTGCGTTGGAAGGGCGTCACTTTGATCCCCAAACATCGCGGCCGGGGACGGCGCACCCCCGGTGCCGCCGGAGCGACTGGCTACAGTTCCGACAAGCGTGCGCGGACGACGTGTAGCCGGGGATCTTGTCATGCTAGTGACGCTAGTTCCATCTTGATCTACGCCAGGATCCTCGCTTTCTGACCCCGACCTGGACCTGTTCCTGCTCGGGGACCGGGACCACTCGTGCTGGAAGGGCTTTCCCAATGAGAGCGCACAACTCCCCCTCGTCCCCCTCATCTGTAATGCAAAATCGCCAATCCTCCAGTTGCTGCCTTGTAGCACTGTTTCCATGACAGATTCTGGAAGCGGAAACAGCATTACAGTCCGCTCATAAACTTGTCATGCACAGCATATACTTGTGCTGTTGTTTGTATTGCTGGCCATGCCATGATTGGCATTGCCGCTCGAATCAGGGGAGGGGGTGGAGTAGTGCACTTTCATATTCCATTTTCATCCTTCCCCGGCCTTATAGGAGAGCCGCGGTGGAGGATGTGCGCTGCGAACGCCGAGCGGAGTTCCTGCGGAGACCGGAGGGCGTCGGGGGACAGGACGCGGGGTAATAATGTAGGGGCGGAGCGCAGATCTCTTTCATCATCTTTTGTCATCTCTACTACCGGTTGCGGTTGTTGTGAATGTAGTGGTCCTGCTTGTGGTTTTTCTACTCTTTGTTCCGGAAGGAGCTCCTGCGCTATGCTATCCTTGCTGTGAGTAACAGGCGCGCTTCTGGGCGTAGGTATAGCAGCAGTTGTTGCAAATGCAAAATCTTCAGCACGAGCGGGTTCCTGCGTTGCCTGCGTTGTAGCAGACCGCCTTGCATCGTCCTGGGTAGAAACAGGGTTCGGCTTCGGCGCGCCAACAGATTCCGCAACAACACGAATTGACGAAGGAGCGCTCGCCTCCGCTTTCTGCTTTGGTACGCCCGGCTGTGCCGGTGTAGCTTTTGCAGGAGCTCCTTCTTCTTGCGGCAGTGTAGCACTTCGCGGGCGAGGAGCTGTAGTTGCTTTTTCAGTCGTTGCAGTTGCTTCATCTGCAATCGAATCAAAGCCGACCCCCTTCGTGTTCATGGTAGAAATTATTTCAAGACCAGAATCTGGAGAAGCTGGTACGCGATGGACTGGACCAGCTGCAGCTGCTTTCGGTTTTTTCGATTCGGATTCCTCGGACTCCTTGTCCCCGGTCACTGCTTCTCGTTGTCCCGTCAACATCGTCGTCGCAGATGAAGCGATAATTTGCTGCGCTTGAACGGCGGGAAGAAGAGGCGGTGGTGCTCCCTCAACCCTTTTGGCGGCCTCCACCGCCTCAACCACTTCGTCCGCCAGCAAGAAGACCGTCGGCCGCTCTGCCGCTTCGCCCTCCGCCTCTCCAATTGCCGAGCTTCCGGCGGGAGACATCAAAACTGGGGTTGTAGGTCGATCCGCCATGAAGCCAGCGTTTACTTTCAGCCGCACGGCAGCTGGACCTACTCTTTGCTTTAGTTCTTGCGCCCCAGAGGACGGAGTCGACGTCTCAGCCTGTACTTGTTCGCGGTCAGGGTGGTCACGCTTCCTGCGGTCCTCCTGCACACCAAACGCCGAAGTGGTTTTTCTGTTCGACGCCGAAAGTAGCAAAAACTCTTCTGTCGTACTGTCCTGATACACGGCGTCGTAGTCGTCGTACAGATCGTGTACGTGCTCCTCCGAAGCGCGGTAATGAAACCTTGTCAACTGCCCCGGCAAAGAAACGAGCACCGACGCCGTGCTAGCATGATGTTGCGACGTCCACCTGGGACTAAGTCCGGGGAAGGAACTGGCACTGGAGCTGGACAGATTTGCGAGGGAAGTGGAGGACGTTCTGTGCTGGAGCGTATTTGTGGCGTCATTATAGATGGACCGACCACGTCGTCTGTGAAGAATGTCGTCGTCGTTCGCATCTTCTTCTCGATCCGATTCAATGAGCAAGTCGTCGCTTGGTTTACTTTCACCTTCAGCAGCGACTGGCTTCGGTCCGGTTTTGAGCATTTTCTTGGCCGGCTGGCTCCGCCGCAGGTAGTAAAAGTCGTCGTCGTCGCCAGGTACAGAAACGCCATCCTCTGGGCGCTTTCTCCCTTTACCTCGCCAAGATTGTGATGCGGTCGACGCAGAGGCGGATGTGGCCATAATTTGATGCTGCTGCGCAAGAGGAATATCCGCCTTCGACGAGGTCGCGGTCGCCGCTGTTATTCTCGCTTGCGCACTGCTGCTGATCACTGCACTGGACATGGACCAGAGGTGCAACATGTGAAAAAACCAAAAGAAAACCAAACTAAAGTTGCAGAACAGCAAGAGCGAAAAGTGGTGCTGATAGTCAAGTTGCTGCAGAATGGTTTGATGCAGCCCGGAAGACAGACAGTCGATGACGCACACGAAGAAGATCGCGCACAGCCCAATCGTAAACCGTTCATTCTCGGAATACGTCGTGAGCGGGTCCCGCTGTTCCCAAGCGCGCATGCGGGCGCGTCGGTAGCGCCGCTGACCCTCCGGGTCCCGGGTCTCGACGCGGAGGAGCGTTTCCATTTTTTCCAGTGATTTCTGTATGGGATTTTGTATAATTATTTTACCACGATACTACAGATCCGCTCACATGCCAGTTGCGGCGCTTACTCCTATGTCTCACATGATATGCAAGGACGATGCTTCGAAACCAATTTCGCGGTGTTTCGAAGTGTGTTTGGTGCTGAATGTTACGGCGCCGGCGACATGCAGCTGAATCCGAGCAAGGCAGTCAAACGGACTACCACTCTGACCAGACCGGCTAAGCGCGCGCGCCCCATGCTGGCACTGAACACACATAAATATAGTGATATTGCTAATTCCAGCCGTCCATCAGGTTGAATCGTTTACGGTTTCCTGCTTGGCCTTCCCACGGGAAATAATTCGCCAAAGCACAGAGGCTGGGAGGCTGGCAAACAATCAAACGGCCGAACGGCAACGCAACGCTCCACCACTGCCTGATGGACAACCCGCCTCGCGAATCCGGGGGAGCCAGGCGGCCAGCGGCCCGGCCGGCCGGCGAGGCGCCAGGGGTGCGAGGCCGGCCCCCACACTTATTTTTTTCATTCGGCCAACCGCAACCCGGCCGGCCAATAATGAAGGGCACTGTCCGCCGCGGAAGAAAACAGGACACCCGCCTCCAAGCGCGGGGCGGGGCGGGCCGGGCGCCCGCCCGTCCCGCAAATGGCGGGCCGCCGGCCGGCGGGCATGCAGAATAAAACTGGCGGCCTGGCTTCGCTCCCCCCGGCCCCCGTCCTTGCTCCACATCTCAGAGAGGCCAGCCGGGGCCCCTGCCGCTTTTGTTTTGGAACACAGCGCGCCGCTGGGCACCGGCCTGCGGAGCGAGGCGCTCTATCTTTGACGCCCGTCGCTGTTCTTCCTGCCAGCTAGGGCCCGCCTGCATGGCTGCCATTGCGCCCCGGGGCCTCCCCAATGCTTCTCGGTGGGCGTGTCGCGGCCGGCTTCGCCGCTCGCCCGGTTTCTACGACCAACCACGCAAGGCCCGCGAAGGCAGGCCCCGCACATCCGCCCGCGCCGCTATCTTTGCGCCGTCGCGTCGAACGCGGGCAAAGCGGGCACGGGGCGCGCGGGTCGCGGGTTGTGACATGCAGGAGACATCCTGCGCGATGCCCTGGCGTTGGCCCCTGCGGCGCGTATGGGCTAGGGCCTTAAGGCCTTATGGAAAGACACGCAGGGCGGGGCCGCGGGCGCCGCTAGAACAGGCGGCCGCGGCGCCTGGGCTTCCGCGGAAGCCCCTGACCCTGGCAAACATGCTCGCCCTTTGTTCTGCGCAGCAGATAGTTAAAATCTCTCACCGGTGCCCCTGCCTCTCATCGTTCCTCCGTCTGGTGCTCCGCTCGACTTCCCCGTGAAAGCTCTCGCAACATGTGCCCCTTGCAGGAGCGGGGCAAAGATCCAAACAAGAACACAGGTCTTCGTACGTACAATTTCAAACCGTCTTGGTGGCTGCCCTTCGCGCCCTCGAGTACTAGTACTCTTTATCTTATCACTTCATATCCGTGTTTTTTGTGGTATTGAAGTTCCGGCGGTAGGGCAGAAAGGAGGACCTTTCGGAAGTTTTCGTAGATGGGCTGCTTCTGCTGCAGGTGAAGCTGCAAGTAGAAACCTAATTCCATAGTATCAAGCCCTGTAAATCCTCGCAAAATTTTCGACGGGCCGTCGACAGATCGGACAGGATTTCAACACGGGGTAGCACCTGCTACACAGACACAAATGTCCACATGGCATCGCCGCGTGGCTTTGCGGCTGGCTCAGGCAGATCACGCACGGGCCGGCCTGTCCTGGTTGCAGCGCTGTGGCGGTCAGGGGGCTGCCATGTAGTTCCTGCTGGTCAAAGCTGGCACTGTCGCTGGCCGATACGGGTCCATTACCATTGATCGTAGTGCCACCGTGCAATTGGTCCAGAGTCGGGATGGCGTTTTCCTGCTGTTTACTCTGCGTCGGACGAATCAAGTAGCGGTTAGGGGTGATAGCCTGCTGCTTTTGAGGTGCGCCATGATCTGCAGGTGCACGTCTGAGTGACTGCTCCTGGGGACTCGCAGCAGATTTTTCCGAGTTGGTTTTACTGCGAGTAGGTCCATGTACAGGTGGTGGGGGGTGAGGCTGCAAAGGCAGTGATTCCTGCTGGGTTTGGTCTAATGCTGGCTGTGCTTCCGGTTCTGCTTCTGCATGAAGTTGTAATCCGCCTGGCTCGCCGGGGTCGGGCGAGTCCTCCACCTGTCGACCACGATCTATATCTGCTACATCTTCTGGCAAAGCCTCTTCGGCGACGGTGCCTGGCGCCGCAGTCATTCCCCCAGTAGTTTGATCCTCCCGCGCTGCGCCGCGGCTGCTTTTCCGGTCGACCGAGCCGACGGTGAGGCCCAGGGACGAGGACTCTTTACTCGGCCCGCGTTTTGGAGAGGAAGTGCCAGCTTCTAGGGTGTTTGGGAGCGAGTCAGCTGCGTCGTTGTTGCTCTCTTGCACGAGGACGATGGCACCCTGTTCAGGTGGTTGAAGTGGCGCACCGCCCATGCTCACGTCGCCGAACCCTTTTTGCGGCGGCTGCGCGTGCGGGTGCGCGGCTTGTGCTGTTGCAGCTGTTTCTACAAGAACCCTTGATATTGTGTCTCCCCCAGTGCTGTATCCTGATGTCGATGTGTGTCCTCCTTGTCTGGTGCTTCCCGCATCGCCGGATAGGTGTCTTTGCGGATAATATGCTGCCGCGGGGTCGTAGCTGCTGGCACTCCTGCTTGCCCCCTGGCCCGAGAGGAAGTGCTGCGGATTTTGATTCCCTGCAACCACCAGAGTTGGAGTTCCCCTTCCCGCTGCTATCGCTGAAAAAGCTGCTTGATCTTCATCCCCCTGCGCACCGGCACCATTGTAGATGCCGACGTCAACATCGTTCACCTGTCGACGTGGACCACCAACGATGCTATTGCTGCTTCCACCGAATAAAGTCCCCACTGTTCTTCGTAAACCAAACTCGTCGTACACCGGACCGCTCATCCACTGTGCCGACGAATTGCTTGCCGCTGAGATCGTTCCGCCATCACCGAAGCCACCGTTCTTTTCGTATCTCCCGAGATACGCCGCCGTACTCGGCGGAAAGAGCACGTTTAAATTCTTCGCGTCAAGAAGTTGTACATTCGAAGCTGCTGCAGCTGCTGCTGCTGGTGCGAGAAGAATCGGCACTGGGGCGATGCTCACGCCCGGCGCAACTTCGTCTTCGAGAACGGGAATCAGATTTTGCCTATCGTGATTCGACAACGCGAAAGAGCGGCTGCTATTCGAAGTAGAGCTCGGGAACACATAATTACTCCCCCCACCTGGTGACGACGCTGGACCAAGATGTGCAGAAGCTGCTCCGGGACTGAAATGTTGACCAGCGATCGGGGACGATGATGCTCCTGTAGCTACAGTTCTATTGCTACCCGTCGCGGCTTCTGGCTCATTTATGTTTATCACACTCGCGGAACTGCTGGAGCTGGTCGCTGGCGTACTTTTGTTCGCGTGACTCTCAAAATACCGTTGCGCAATCGACCCGGCTGCCGACGCACTACTGCTCGCGGGTCCGAGCCCGGCGGGCCGGCGAGAAGACGAAGCTGTTGACCCAGGAGCACCGAGGAGGTACTTGTTTCTTCCGACGGTAGCGGTACTAATCCCATAATTCCCTGTGCTTGTAATTGAAGCTGAACGTCCATTCTGGTTCATCCACGACCGGGGAGGGTAAGGCACGGAACTCAGCCCCGGGCCCGGTGCCGGAACAGTACTAGAACTGCTTGTCGTGGGAAAGGGAAAATCATTGTGGACGAAGGTATAATTCGGTTCTGTTCCTGCCAGTGCTGCATGAGCACTGTCTACTGGGATACTCCCCGTCGTTGCAGATGACGGCAAGGTGCTACTGCTGGAGGTCGTCGTACTACTATGTCCAACCGGTCGTGGATGCAAGACCGACCGCGCCCCCTGCTCTGGCGAACAGAGTCGTTTCGGCACCGGGGCGTCGTTTCGAAACAGAAAGCTGCTGAGAAAGGTGTCGGAACTGGGGTTTTGGAAGACCGTGACCTCGCTGTTCGGAAGCGAGGTGGAGCTGTTTACTAAACGTTGTGTTGTCGGGTGATGCTGAGAAAACTCGAGCTGGTTGTTGTTCTCGTTCCACTGCTGATGGTGCTGAAAAGAAAAAGCCCCTTGCTGTACGAGAGAAGGCGTCGTCTGCGGCCGGGTGGCGCCCGGGGCTGCTGCGCTCCCCCCGGTTTGACCTTGAAGTAAATCTTCATTGCTAGTACCAACATTTGAAGATGTAGCAGTTGCACCTCCTGGAGGTGGTGGTACTGAAGTAGCTACCTCCGAGACGTAATTCTCGGTGAGCTGGAAAAACTCGCGAAAACAGCGCTCGGCGTGGAAAACTTCGGCGGCCGCGAGTTTGCGCAGGTAGGTGTTCAGCACATCGACACAGAACAGTTCGTCGCGCGCCAGGTTTTCAACCGCGATGGAACTTGGGAACTCGGGGATTTGGGTGAAGGCAGGTTGATGTATATTGGCGGTGGAGGTGGACGTGAGCTGATTGTAATTTTACAAAATTATATGTTCATACTTCGTTTTCGACACGATAAAGAACGCTATGCGAAACAACAAGTGGACAGGACGTTGACATGGCCTACTGCGTTCAGAGACGATGGCTCACAACATGAGAAATACACGACAAAATTGCCACTTTCTATGTCATCAATTTACTTGGTCGTGCAGCACTTGCAGAGACCGGAGCCGTTTCGAGACGTGGTGCGAAAAACCGTCGTCCTGTTGCTGAACCTGAATTTTAAGAAAAACCTCGAGCACCGGCTCCACAATCGTGTCACACTCGATGATGCGAAGCTGCATGTGGCCGACAAAATAAAGTGCGGAGTCGGGATGAAATAAACCTTGTAGTACGTGGAATCAATGAAGAGCTCAATTATATATATACATCATTTTCATCTGAAGCTACTTCGTCTTCTGCTACTTTTTTCGACGGAGAAACAGAAAGTCACTGCAACATAAAGAAATAGCTGCAGCGACTGCACCAACTCTAGCGGACGCTTCGCGGACGTGCGCGCGCGTGCGACAACTTTAGCAAAAGCCACTCAAAGTTATGCGCAGCATCAGAACTGTTCTACTCTTCTGCTCCGGCGGGTTCTTTTGGTTTTATACAAGCGTGATGAGCAGGAGCAGTTCTTTTTGCACTTCGACTTCTTGGTGTTGAAACCTTGGAAATACATACGTCACCACCCATTCTGAACGCAGCTAAGCGACCAAAACAAGGTTGTCGTGAGTAGAGCAAAGAGTGCCTTTTGGTGTTAAGCTTGCGACGCCACTCTGTGAAATCTTCAATTTTTTGTACACGACGTTCATATCTGAAGTGCTACTGTATGCGTGTTCTTCATTGGTTTCATTTTCCATCATGTACATGTGCTCAACTTGTTGCTTGGCAACTTGAACTTCGTAAAAAACACTGCACATATATGTTCCACGATTCCATTTCTCGTGGTGGTGGCTTCAAAAAAAAGGAAAATGTAGGGCAAAACAAGACTTACAAAAACAGGTTCTTTGTCAGCGTCTCTGAGGACTCTTTGTCTGATTACTTAAATAATTTCGTCCGCGTTTATCACGGTACGAAGACAAACTTCTACAGCTTCTTTCCTCGAAAATGATTTTTCGAGAAAGCCAACGACAACTTTCCGTCCCTCCTCCCGCGTCATTTTCCCTCGCAGATTTGGTACGAATACCAAATGAAATCTTCCCCATTGATGCTTTTCGTGACGTCAATTGTGCATTGCAAAAGTATGTTCGCACAGCTACCAAGTACGAATTGCATGAATGATAATTTCATAATCTTTCCATCTCAATTCATTCACTCACTCACGCAAGCTATTATCCTTCTTGAAGAGTTCTTTCATCGGTTTCCCATCGTTCTCTCTCGGATGTGCTTACAAGTGTATCGCTTTGCTAAGAATCTTCGCACGCATCAGCGCGCGGCGTAGGTCCCGTCACTCATCTTTTGGAACCAGATGCCGCACACTCGGTATTCTGTCCGCCCCGAATTCTCACAGAAATCTTCGGCGTCGATTTGGAACGTCACGGGATCGGGATCGGCGTCGCTTTTTTCGGTTTGCCAGGCGCTGCCTGTGGTGTTGGGAACTCTTTCCCAGCGCCTGCCGCTGATATTCGCTACGAATTCCGCTTGTTTTTGCTCGGCCTCCTCCTTTTGTTTCCGGATGTTTTCGTTTTGTCGCGCGGTCCTTGCCTTGCACGCCTTGGTCTTTCCCCTCCTGTCGGCCTTTTGCTGTTTCGGTAGCGGCTTCGTGGGCCTCTTTGCTACGAGGTGCGCCTTCACCACGTGGGCCGCTGGCTGTGGCTTTAAGTCCATGAACCCGTCGACCGGAAGGCCTATGGCGTCGAAGTCCTCTTTTACCATTCTGCCCCAGGGGGTGTTTTTTCGGATCTCTTGCTTCGTCAGGTGGTGGCATGCTTCGTTGGGGTTGCGAAAGGTGTGCGCCGCCCACGCTACCCGCCTCTCCCGCAAGATGGTCTCTATCGGCGGCACGCCCGTCCTGTTGCAGAGGTCGAGCCGGCTTGCGTACTCTTCTGCTCCTTCCGCTTCCTCTTGTGCGTACTGCCATGCGCGTTTTTCCCCTTCCACCGTTTTCAGGGTGCTGTGCTGGAACCACCGCAAAGCCTTGAGGTCGTGTTCCCGTGGGTGCCAGGTTTCCGCGTTGTATAAAGCGACGGAGTTGGCAAGGCTTTGGTATAGAGTCGCTTTCATCCTCCTGGAGATGTCTCGGTCTCTCCAGATGCCCTTCAGTGCCTGGACCGTGGAACGCGCCATGCCGGTGCGCCTCGCGATCTCCTTCGTTGTCGCCGCGTTGTTTTCTACTTGCGTGCCCAGGTATTTGAACAAGCTGACGGTCTTGATTTCTTCCCCGCTGTAGGTGGTTAGGTTTGCTGGGACGAGCTGCCGCGCGCGCTCTGCTTTCTGTTTCTCCAGTATCTGTCGCCCTACCCGGAGTTGTCGCTCTTCCTCTTCTGTCTTCGCTGGTCGGCAGAAGCCCGTCGCTTTGTGGTAGGTCAGTGCTTTTTGGTCGCTCAGGATGTCGCCGCATCTGTCGCAGACAAATGCGTTCTTCTCTTGCTTCACGAACCGAATGCGGCCCATGCGTATGAGCCTTGCCGGCGTTTCGGCCCATCGCCACCGCACTGTTGCCCACCCGCTTTTCTTCAGGATGCAGCAGTTGAAGGACCCATCATCCCACGCAAGTAGGTGCGTGGGCTTCAACCCCATGTCCATCCGTGGCGCCTTTTTCGCTCCCTGTTTCAGCTCTGGGCGCAGGTCCGCCCCACTCCACTCGACCATCCACCCGCTGCGCTCTGTGCCGCCAAGTTCCTGGAACTTGAATCGCTCTTCTCGTGCTTCTTCGTTCGTTTTTTCGGCCGGCTGCAGGTTGAACGTCATGGCCTCGGTCTTTCCATCTCAAGGGAAGATGGGATCTATGTCTGTCATGCTCATGTAGCCCGCGGAAAAACTACATCAGATCTCCTGTCACGCCCGAACGCAATTTCATGTTTGTACAAGTGCGATACAACTTTAGCGAAGGATATCACTGAGACCGTCGCAATTCGGCCCGTCCGGCGCTCCAGGGGCGTTTAGGTCCAACGGATTTTCTGTGATGTTCCCGTTGACCGCCCCCGCCGCTTTCACGTAGCACCACTTTTTCGTGCACCAGTCTGGACGGTCCTGTGGGTCCGCGCACCGGTAATTCGCACCGGCTTTGCCGTTTTTTCCGTCAGATGCCGTCTATCCTCTGCAAAGGCAATATCGTACCTCCTTGTAGTATATTGTTCATCGAATTTTTAGTGCAGTTATTTACATACATAGTATCTGCATCTTTGCGAACTTGAATCAACATAATTAATACAAATCTCACTCTTCAATTTCATCTTGCCAAAATTTCTTGTCATGCGCTCTCTACTAATACGATACTTTTGCACTGCATACCACCGTCTCTGTGTCTTCCCAGGCCGCGCATATCCTGAGCAAAAACGCCTCCTCCCCAGAGCTGTCACGCAAATCTGCATGCCTGAAATGCTTATCATGCACAGCCACGGCACGAGAGGCATTCTTTCATTTCTAACGCAATCCGGGAGCCCCAGCCTGTAATGTTAGAATCAGGATAAGCATATCGATTTCTCATCATGCGGATGCGCTAGGTAATAAACAGCAGTACGCTATCATGCGCAACAGCCAAAAGCGGTGGAAGTGTGAAGCAACGTCCTCATCTTGACTCGGGGGTGGGGAAGTTTTTGGACGGGATAACGCAGAACTCTCCGTAATTCGGACCGCCGCCGTACTTCAGCGTGTAGGCCTTTCCGTAGTCCGTGTCGTCTTTTTGTGGTGTGTATCGCGAGAAAAAACTGTTTCAACACTGGAAAGTTGTGATGCAGAGGACGCAACTACTACACCGAAGTGCTTGTCTTGCTGCACATGCAAGACAATGCATTTATTTCAGGCGTGTTTCCCCGAGAAACAGAAAGCTCGCGTGGCAAATTTTTTTTTGTGCTGGTGTGATGCAAAGTAGCGCGCAAGATTCTTACAGTTGTGACGCAGTTTTTTCGTGCGATAGTGTAAGCCACTCTTGGGCAGGAAACTGCAGGTCACAGGAAGCCAAGTTGTATCCCGTCCACGTTGTGTCAGTGCCTGTGCCACATCCGTCTCGCATCAAATAGCACTTGCGTTTGCCGCTAGCGTCTGCATTGTTTTCCAAGAAGAAGGATTTGCATTCGTCCGTTTTCGAGCACAAGTACCGGCATTCGCTCAGCGTGTAGGCACGGTTATTGTAGGTGCTGATCACGATGGGATTCGTACCTCCCAGAAGCGACGTGAAAGCGCCACCAGGCTGGCACTGACCGCCGTATCCGACTATCAAGTGCAAATATCAGGTCTGGGTGGTGTGGAAAATTGCAAAACCTGAGCAGGTGCTTCTTGTTTAACACGGCTATAGCGCGTCTGGTGTATCATGTTGCGGAAGAACAGTGAATGCCTACTGAATTAAGTGGAGTACGTATCTCATGCGCAATACGCAACACAGCCCTGGTTCCCCAAAAGATTTTCATGCTTGGAGGCCTATTGTTTCTTTGTCACCCGCGAGTCAGCATGGCAACTTTCCAGGCCATAGATACAGACATATTTGCAAAAAGGCATATCGACGGCGCAGTTACTGTCGTCGACCTGCGGCACATCTGTTGCCTCTATACAACTTGCCGTGTTTTGCTCCAAGCTATACATCATCTGCGTCGATTGGAGGTATCCAGGCGACTCGAGCGGACACAAATTGGACGGAAAATGGTGGACATTCCGAAACAAAAGCAGCGGACTTCGTCCGTCATTCATCCATGAGAAAGATGCTGAATTCTGATGGAGCTGGGATTCTCATACAGCCATGTCTTGTGGTGCTTTGTGCTCCTGCTGCGCCTGCACACAAAACCGTAATCGAAAGAGCACCGAGCACGGCCCCACCACAGGCAAATAGAGTGGCAGATTTGGCCGCAACTGGGTGTTGCGGAAACCATGGCCGGGCCGCGCCAGGAAAAGCCAACAGCGGCGCGAAGACTTTGGCGCGCCAGGGCAGCGGGCTGGCACGCGCGCGCCGCCCCCGTGTCGTGCGGCGGGCGGCGAGCAAAAAAATTGTGTCCGACCTTTGGCGCGCATTGTGTCCGGTTTTTGGCGAATTGTGTCCCAAGGCAAGTGTGTCCGAGCAAAAAGCACACTGAAAATATGCACGGCATCTTTTACCTGGCGTGCGGCCGGGGCGCCGCCCACTGGGGTGGTCCGGCTGGAAAGGTTGCTGCTGGCAGTCGGAGACGCCACAGGCGCCGCCACTTCCGTGGGCTTTCTCACACAAATGAAAGAATGGGAGGCGCTTCGCAGATTGGCACCACACCCAGGCGGCAGGGCGCGGACTGCCGCGTGGCATGTCCTCCCTTCAGGTGAATTGCTTTCTTTCCGTCGGTTCTCAGCCATCGGCCCCACTGCTTCTCTTCGCCCTCTACTATTCACAGAAGCTGAAAGCGCAACTAACGCAGTCCTATGGCAGCTCGAGTGCTTCTGCATTGTGGCAATGCGATGAGGAAGCTGACAAAAAAAAAACATTCTCAGCGCTCAGGCGAAGGTGCTAGAGATTCGGAAAAAGATGAATTTTGATTGTAATTGTGCACGTTTTTCTGCCCCGTTTTGTGTCCGCTATACGGCCTGGCGCCATCCATACGATTTCAACATTCCCATTCGTGTCGTCCAAGTACACCCGATTCGGACAGACGGCAGTGTAAAATTGGCACGTCCCACTTCTGTATGGATTGCAAATACAATGTCAGGTGTCTGATACGGGCAGGATGCAACTTGACGTCATCCTAAGTCTGCTGACGTAGACAAAAATCCGCCGGCCTTGCTCAGTCGAAAGACACTCTGGGGTTCTTGCCTCTCACAGCTGTGGCATCTCTCATGCAGGCTACACATTGAGAGGCCTCCACGGGCACGGATCTTGTCATGACATGCTCATACTCTGAGCATGAATTCCACAACTTCTTTCTTGCAGGTCGAAAAATTATACAAATTTCTGCATTAGCATTCTTCCTGACCCAGACATAATCGAACTCTATTTGCACTTGATACTGTGTCGGACTGGTAGGCTTTGCACATGCCGTTAGATTCCGTACGGCACTGCAGGTCACAGCGCCGCCAGAAGAAATTTTTAGAGGCGTCGAAATAATATTCCAATTGTGGGTTGACGTTGACCTTGAAGACTTCGTCTCCTGTCAGTCCACCAGACCCATTATACTGAGAATTGCACTTGCCGCTGAACTCCTTCGCGCAGATGGGGTCTGTGAAAGTACTAGTACCGCCGGCAGCCGACAGCGACAGATCGGTCCAGGTAGGTAGGATCGGAGCAGCGTCATCCATCGAATTAACACATGTGCACGTGTCCGCCTTCTTGCTGGCTTTGGTCTGGAGGTGATTTCGATTTGTGAATGCAGCTCCTCCATCTGTGTGGGCCTGGGTCTTTTGCTGCGCTGCACCTCGTCGCAGCACCTTCACGGCTTGCACCGCCGGGCACCTAGACACGACCTGGAGGGCCGCAAGAAGACGACCGGCAAAGGAGTAACGACGCACCTGCGCGCCCATGATCCTTTTTTCACCCCACTACAATCAACATCGCGGACATTTTGAGGTTTATTCCAGCCTCGTGCATCTGAGTTGCAGCAGAGCCAAGAGGAGGATAGCAGAAGGGCAACAATGCATAACAACTTCTGGACTCCAAGCAGCTCGGGAAAGATCTGCAAGTCCGATAGAGGCAACAGATTTCTAAAATTCTTTATCGTCCGACGCCTCCGCGTCACACTCTCAATTTTCTCATAGTTGTGGCACTCGTGGTCAGCAGTTCATTTCTTCCAAACATTTGACTCTGCTCAGAATTGATGAATGGTCACTCGCAACACAAGTGCGCTCATTTTCTTTTGCTGACAGACAAGATCTTTAAGAAACATCACGAAAGCCAGACCTACACCTACTGGGAGGTGGGTGTGGGAGTGAGTGTGGAACTACCTCCCCCTACATTCAATAATTTAAATTTTAGTCGCACAAAAGTTCTCGTTGCAATCCTGCGAAAGGGATCATGAACGTGATATTATCATGGAAATAACTGCAATGGCGAAGAGGATTCCGACTCGAGGCCCGGAGCACTAAAACATTACGAGCAAGTTGTTCTTCAATATCTTTGATCTTTCTGCTTGTGGGCCAGGGCCACGTGACTGATCAATAAGGCATGAATCCAGGTGGCGGATGAGGTGCCGGGCCCCCACTTCCGCCGGGAAACATGTTGTAGCCATACGGCAACGGCGCACCTGTTGACGAGTACTGCTGGTATTGTTGATTCTCATTCTGATTTATTGCCCCCGCCCGCGGCGCACTGTGTACTACTAGGTTCGTCCCCTGCTGATAGTGCTGGGGATGATTCGCGTGGTTCGCGTATTGCGGTGTCGTTTGTGTCTGAAAGTCCGGGGTATCGAAGCGGTTGAAGGTCGCGTTGTTGTGCGCCGGCGCCGTTGTTGTCCCAGCAGGCCCCAGCCCGACGTGAAAGGGGTTTACATTCGTGTTGCTCGCACTGTTGCTGTAAAGCATGTTTGACGTCGTACTTGCCCCCCCGGCCACCCCCGGCGGCCCTGCACTCGAGGACGACGAACCACCGCCAGGAGCTTGATATTGAAATTGTTGCTGTTGCTGTTGTGGTTGTCCGCCTGCTGCTCCTCCGCTTCCTGTTGGGACAAAAGAACTCGCAGCACCCGGATTGGCGTTCCACAAGGGTCCGCTGTTCAGCCGTGCGTTTTGTTCCTCGTGCGCCTCCCTTCTCTTCTCCAGCTCCTTCTCCCGTGCCTCCTCCTCCTTCGCCTTTTTTGCCTCCCGCTTCTTCGCAATCGCCCTTTGCACGTACGCGTCGTGTTCGCACGCCCTGAATTCCTTGTCCCACTTTTCCTTCATCTTGTGGTAGTGCTCCTGCCCGATGTTTTTGTGCAGCCAGGTCTTCACGTAGGCCCCGGGAAGTTCGATGTTCTTCCGTCCCATGTACTCCAGGATCCGCAGACCGACCGGCTTCAATAGCCTCGACATTTCGGACTCGTCGCTGTCGTACTCGTCGTCCTTTTTCTTCGCGAAGGCCGCACTGCTCGCGCCGGAGCGCTTCCCCCCGCGGCCCTTGCCCTTCTGCGTTATTTGTTCCCGGTCTTTTTCCTCATGTCTGCGCTGGTTGATTTTGTCCTGCAGTTTTGATTGATCTGTGCCTTTCGGGTCCTGCTTCCGGTGCATGTTTTTTTCCTTCAAAAAGGCGATGTATTTCTCCTCTTCCGCGGGCTTGGTAAGTTGCAACGCCTCCCACAGCGGATTTACCAACACCAGTCCCGTTTCTTGCTCCCGCCTCTTCTGGTGCTTTGTTTTGAACTCTTCCGACCGGTAGCTGGAGATCAAAGCCTGCGTCTCCCCCGTGCTTGTTTCCCCGAAAATAGCTTCTTGCTCGAAAAGCTCGTACGCCCGGTCGAAGAACCACTGCAGGGTTGGGTGCGTGCGGAGGAGCTCGTGGCACTTCGCGCCGCGCTATCAAGTGTAAAAGTGTCTGGGTCTGGAAGGATGTGAACTTGTGATGCGCATTTCATAACACAGACAAATCTCTCATGCATCTTTGCAAAAGGTGCCCATATGTTGTCCCCAAAATGGGGGATTTGTCATGCGGATTAAGCAATGCGGAAGCTTCTCGAAATCTGTGATGCTAGGGCTTCCATGACAGACATTTTGTGTCATGCAAAAACAGCATGACAAAAATCTGCATTCTTCCAGACCCAGACATCTTTACATTTGATACGCGCACGCCGTGGGGAAACTTCTCCACCGGCTTCGCGAATTCCTCCTTCAGGTTGTCTCTCGTCACGCACTGCTTGTAGTAGTTTTTCAGAATCTCCAAAATTTCGTCGTCCGGAATCAAATCCTGCCGGCAATCCACCCATTTCATAAACTCGCCGTCGGGCTTCAAAGGCTTGATCGCGTGCAGATGCGCTGTGTGCGGGTGGGGTAACGCCTGGGCCTTCACCTCCCGAGAGGCAATGGCGCTCTGCTCTTTCTTCTCGTGCTGTTTTCGCACGATCTCGGAGAACGTGTCTTGATTTGGCTGCTCGGGGGACGAGCTCGCGCCGGTAGAATTTTTCGGGTTCCTCGCTTGTTGTTGATTTTGATGGCTTACTGTTCCGGTTGGTACTTGATTAGGATTTTTTGGATTTCCCCTGTCTTTGCTGTTATTTTTCCCTTGATGTTCCTCTTGAGCAGCTGCACGCATCTCCCTTCGCCTTGCTCTCTTCTGCGCCTTTGTAAGACGCTTTCCCTTCATCTGGCTTGCGTTCATTTCGGCAAGATTATCCACTTGCTGTTGCTTCGTTCCCCCACCATTAGTTGTACTTTGTGCAGCTGCCTCACCTGAAGATGCTCCGCTCCCGAACGCGTTGTAGATACCCGCGCCGTGAGGTCGTTGTACTTGCTGTTGCTGCTTGTTTTGTTCTTGCCCGCCCCCCCGAGCAGTAGTAGATGATGTTGCACCAGGTCGTTTATTCATGCGTTTTTTATTTCCATCTCGAGCAAGGTGTGCAACGGCGTCGTCGTCACTATCATCCTCGTCCCCGAGCAATGCAACTTGGTCGGCCAGTTCGAATTGGTTCTTTCCTAGGTTCGCATCCATTTCGTCCTCCGACGAATTCGAATTATTGCTGTCATCATCTTGACCATCTTGCTCCCCGTCGCCATCAGCAGCTCTCCTTATCGCAGCCGCGTCCGTCCAACTCTTCCCCATTGCAGCTAGTGTCTCTCCCTCTTTCCTAAAAGCGGCACTGCTACCAGCACCACGACCACTCTTCTTCTTGATACTATCTCCCTCGAACAACGATCCCTGCCCCGCTTTGAAAGAGGAGCCGAGAGCTCTCTCTTCTTCCAATAGTTCGTTTTTCATCTGCTCTCTTTCCCGGAACCAGTCGGATTTTTCCTGCTTCCCCCGTCTTTCCCTTTTCAGCTGCAGCAACGTCTGCTCTTCCATGGTGGAGATTCCCTGTTTGCACTGGATCATCATCGTGTCTAGGTCATCCGTCCGCCCAATGCCCATGCCCACGTAATCCAGCTCATTCGGGTACTTCGCCTTGTACTCCTGCAAGTCTTCCAGTACTTGCGCCCGTACCCGCGCCGCGCCCTCGTGCCAAATCCCGAACTTTGGGTCGCACCGCGGCCCCTTGGGGGCCGGGAGCTGCTCGAGCACGTCCCAGGCAAGGGGCTTGCCCAGGGTCTCCCAGCCGGGAAAGGTGCCGTGGCGGGAGACGTATTTCGTTTTCCCCGTTTGTCTGTCGGTTTGTTTGATTGCGGTGGTTTTGCCCGAAAACTCTCGGATGTACTGCTCGTCTGGCGTTGTCACGCTGTTGTAAAGAGTGCGGTGTGGTTGTGGAGCTGGAGGTGCAAGTATTTTACCTTGGTTAGTATTTTTCGTAGGTTGTCCTTGTCCTCCGATGGGCGGAGGAGGGGGCATCATGTTAAGATTCTTGGCCGCCGCATTTTTTGCAGCACTCGACGAAGAAGTAGAGGACGAGAACAACCCCGAAGCCGCCGCGGCGCTGCGTGCTTGATCGAGGTACTTCTGGCGATTTATCACCGTCTCGGCCGCCAATTTCGCATTTTTCAATTTTTTCCTCTCGTTGTTGCTCAAGCCTGGCTGTTGTAATTTCAGATCAATCAACTCTGGCGCAGCGGCGCGCAGGGTCTGCGAGTTCCGGATAGTGCCGTTTACAACTTTCTCTCTTGCTTGCAGTTGCCGTCGTTGCTCTTCGTCCTTGCGTGTTTTCTCTTCTGCCTTCTGCTGTAATTCCGCATGGCCGTCGCCTCGGACGATGCGCATGCCAAATTCGTCCTCGACGAGGCTGGATTTGTTTTTGTTCTGTTCCTGTTTCCTCCGTTTTGCAGCTTGATTCATCTGATGATCATATGGCTGGAAGGAAGAACTTGAAGCCGCAGTCGCGCCGGGAGGTGCACTACCACCGCCATGAGGAGGATATTCTTCCTGCAACCCCTGCAGGTCCGCAAAACCAACTGCAGTTCCAGCCGGCCTCTTGTTCTTCTGGTTCTGGCTTTGCGCTTGCTTTGCTGATTTTCCATTTTGCGCATTAAGATCTCGACCCCCACTGCCTGCTGTAGTCCCCGCAGCTGCAGCTCCCGCGGCCGCGCCTCGCCCTCGGTTTCGCTGCGAGTTCGCTTGAAAAGCGTTTCTTAAGTTGCTTGACGAGGAAGCGGCTTGTTGCTGCTCGCCCCCCTGCTGCCCCTGCATCGCTCCTGTCGGCACAAACCCACTGACCGGGGTCTGCGGTACCGGGAACCCGGCGGGAAGGTTTCGTTGTGACCCGAGGTTCTTCTGGATTTGCGTCATGTTCATGCGGAGATTTTGCTCTGTACTCCGCTGGGTCGGGATGTTTGTGAGATTCGGGTTGTTGCGCTGATTGTTCTCGTAGTTTTGTTGCAGCTGGCGCTGGCTGTACAGAATTTGGTGATCATAACCTCCTCCTGCTCCCGCTGTCGTATTAGGATTGTTCATGTTTACCTGCTGGTGCTGTTGGATCCCAATTTGTTGGTGCAGCTGATTCGTCATGGCAATGGTGTTGTTCACCTGCTGCTGCATCTGCAGCCACGCACCGTACAGCTCCTGCTGCGTGGGCTGTCTGCTCGGGTCCAGAATCACAGGCTGCGGGGGCATTGGCATGGTGGGCGGCGGGAAGTTCGGGCTGTTTCCCTTCCCGGGTTGCTGTTGATTGTTGAAGGGAAACATGTTTTTTTTTGACAATGGGACAGGTTTCTAAATATTTCTGGTTGCGTGGAGGCGGGTCGGGAAACAAGACAAAGACTACAACATACAATGAGTAGAAATCAAACGGTTGGATGTGAAGCGAAGGGGTGGTACGTAAATTCAAAAAAACAAAAAATCTTTCTAAAAACAAAAGCGAACTTTCGAAAATTCAAACCCTGATGCGAGAAAGGCAATAAATCGGCGACCTAGATGAAGAAGTCTTCGAAGACATCAACATATAAATCTAGCGTATAAAAGATAAAGAGGCACCGGGGGAGACTTGCGACATAGGGATCAACTTCTCGACCAATTATACGACAAGTTGCATTAATTGCGTGACGGTGAAGGAACTGAGTTAGTACTATTGCCACGCTCGATCCAGAACCACGAGCTGGAGATAGCGTCGCAAGGACGATGATCTGTCTCAGTTGGTAGATCGGTTGAACACCAGATCGAGTAGCCGTGCGGGAGCAATAGCGCTCTTGGTGCAGCATCACACAAAATCGTTCGTGTGTGTGCTCTTCGTGAAGGACTTGAAAATTCCAATCTGATAAATATAAGCAATAAATTAGTTAAAACTTCTTGTCCTCTACTGGGTCAGAGAAGTTGTTGCGTTGCGTTTAGTGTACTCGGAAACCTCCAGTTCTTTGGCCTCAAACAACATCTTGGATGCGTGGGTGCAGCTGGTGGTGCACGTGGGTCGCACATCATCGCAAATAATCAGATAATTTCATTTCAAACTTCAGCGGCAAATAATGGACATTTTTATGGTGACACTTTTTCGACGAGGAAAGGCATTTATTTCGTGTTTTTTTACCAAGTGTTGAAATGAAACTATTGAATCTGCCGCCGACGTCCTGTCGCACGCCCACCTGCTTACTTCTTCGCGTTGTGCATGATGTGAAGGATGTCACCGTCTTTGACCACGTACTGCTTTCCCTCCATCTTGTACTTACCAGCCGCTTTCACACCCGCCATAGACGCCTTTCGGCCCTCCTCCTGGCTTGCAAGGAAATCGTCGTACGTGCAAGTCTCCGCCTTGATAAAGCACCGCTCCATATCGGTATGGATCGCGCCGGCGCAGTTCGGGGCGGTCGCGCCCTTGTAAACCTGATAGATAAAAAATAATGTAAATGAAGTAAAACACGATCACAGTTTTTACTCTGCAAAGGAAAAGGGCGATATTATGGCGCACGACGTACAAGAACTCCTATCAGCATTTCTTGCGCATGATCTTCACGACAAAGAGGACGACTCTTGGTACCGTCCATGCCCGCACTTCGTCTTCGCCACAGGTGAAAAAGTACATCAAGTTCAGCTCTGAGTAACCGGTTTTGATAATCTTGTCCAGTTGGGAGTCCGTGTTCCCCTCTTCAGCCTTCAGGGCGGCAAGAGTTTCCGGGTTGTCTTTGGCATCGAAGAGCTGCTGTTCGAAGTCGACAGAAATCGGAATCATGGTACCCCCGCCGTGCTCGTTAATCCAGTTAAACACTTTTGGGAGCCTGTTTTGATATTCAAAGGCAGTTCTTTCTGTGTGTCTTACATTGTTAGTTTCTCATGCAAAGTGCTTTTTGAAATGCAATGTAGAAGTGGGATGCCCGTAACGCACTCGCACACGACACCTCCACATAAAATACAGGCCGTATTCTTATTCAGTAAGACTAGACAACGGAACTGAAGACAGTATCATGGATCATCTTTTAATACCACTTGCTCTTCTTGGTCTTGTAGCCCTTTTCACTCAGGTTCAAAAGGTAGACCACCGGCTTGGTTGTGATTAGGGTCGGCAAAAATTCGTTGATTTTTTCCACTTCATACGGCGTCCAGGTTTGCTTGGAAAGCAACATGTTCTTCTGCAAGTAGTCTTTCACTTTGTCCATGCAAGCGGTCCACTCCTCTGGAATCTTCTTTTGGGCCCGCTTCTGGGCAACGACGTAGGCGTCGATAATGCGGTCGTAGGTGCTGATAGAGATTCGGAGTTGTTCAATTTGAATTTTCATTCGTTTGAAGACCATGCATGAAAAGCGCTTTGCATCATATCTTCAGTGACATCTGACATTCGTCGTGTAGTTTGTGAAGATGCGTAGTAAACAACCTATTGAACAACTACAAGCCAAACTCTGCGATGCAAGAAAGCCAAAAGATTATTATACGCCAAGTCCTTTTGGCACAATTCGAAAGTGATGGTTTCGAGATCCCGGACGGGGTCAACGCTGTCATCGACGTGGGTCACATCGGGATCCTCAAAAAGTCGGATCATGTGGTAGATACCTGGGAGTGTGTATTGCTGAAAATACGTAATATCGCAATTGCAGTTTACTCAAGGCGAAAGTGAATGTGATTCTACTTAGTGGTCTTCGTCTTACAACTGAGTATGCCATGCATGATAGAAAAGCATAGTCCAGATTCGGAGGTAGGCGCATGATAAAAATTAACGCATCAATACCATCCACCGCCTGGATGTGTGATAAGAAATCGTTCCCGAGCCCTGCACCCTCGTGTGCCCCTCTGACCAAGCCAGCGATGTCGGTGATATTCAGGTACGCTGGGACAATGGATTTCGGCTTCCACATGTCAACGAGCTTCTCGAATCTGCGTTGAGGGTGACAGAAATGTTAGTTTGTTTTGCATATGACGAGATGCATTTTTTTATCTACTTCATGCTGGAAATCACAGACACTATGCAAGAACTTTTGGTCATCCTCATCTCCCACAACGTGATCCACTGCCTCGTCCGCAGCACGACTTATCGTATTAAAAAGCACTTACCTTGGGTCCGGCACCTTACACCTGCCTTCGTTCGGCTTGATGGTGCAAAAGGGAAAGTTTGCTGCTTCCGCCGCTTGTTTGGTGAGAAGGTTGAAAAAGGAGGACTTTCCCACGTTCGGCAAGCCAACAATACCCATCTTCAGATTCGCCTTCGTGCGCCCGAACCGCAGTTCGACGGAGTACGCCGGCTTCTCATCCTTCTTCTTGGGCGCCATGCTGTTGCGGTTCGTTTAGAATTTCTACGTAAAAAAGTTCAGATGTTGCTAGGAAAAGTTGAAACTCTAAAAATTAGGTGTTGTCTTACGCAGCTGAAAACATGCGCCACAAGTAATAGGAACTGGAAATAAAAAAGTTGTCGCTGGTTCCCTGATAAGTCGTGGGGTGAAGGTAAGTAAGTGAAGTTGCCTTTGTGCGAAACATTTCCATCAAATAAAGTGAAAGAACTCGTCAAGAACATGAAATTAGATCCCTCGTAGTAGTAAGGCACAGCGCGTGGTAAGAAGTATGACATCTTCAAATGAGGAAGATCATGTTTTTTTTGGTTCCAGGAAATTATGATGTCGACGAGGTTGTTGTACCACGACCGGCTTCAGATCCTTTTTTCTAGAGCTTCAAGGTCAGAAGGAGATCCAAGCTGCAGTAGGTGCGACAAAAGTACTTTTCAAACAACGAGATCTTCATGATCGAATCATTATCGTATAGTACTTCTGTTCTGAGTCGCCCTGCTGTATGCAAGGCTTTCCTGCTATAGAAGTTTCGACACATGAGCGAACATCGATCATTCCCCGTAAAAAGGAGGCAAGCAGCTGCACGTCCGCTAGGCACTTCCACCACAATCCGCAGTGGCCTGGCATTCCTTTATTGCGATGCTTTGATGATAGTAGTCATCAAATACGAACAGTCAGCGTCAGCTGCATCAAACAGCGATTTTTTTTTTGCAAGCGAAAGCTAGAGCAAGGCCATGTCAGGTCTCAATCCTTGGTGCAAGACAAAGCTGTTGTCATGCAGCGAGGAGAGAACAAAGGAGGTCGATGTCTCGAGAGAGAAGCATCAGCACACCTCATCACAACTTTAGGCACTCGCTTTCTTCATAGCCATATTTTTTCTCTTCTTCAGTAGTGGCATGCTTTCCTTCTCAGCCGACTTTTTTCCGCCTTTTCTTCCAGCTGCCTTCTTTTCCATCTCTGCTGCAATGGTCTCCTTCTCCTCATCACTTGACTCCGCCGCTGTTGTGGCTGACGTTCTTGTTCTCTTGTTGCTCTTCTCACCAGCAGTTCCGCTCTTCGCGAATTCCTTTCCGACGACCACAAACTCGTCCTCCTTCAATTCCCTTTCGTAAACCGGAAGGGAAATGCAGTCCGTCGCGGAAACGCAGGCGGACTTGACAGAAAGGTTAAACTTCTTCAAGTATGGTTGAGCCGCCTTGATCACCTGTCGTGTTTTGCATTTTTTTTTGATACAATTACAACGCGTAGATAAATTCCAGGAGAAGAAGTAGCACCATCGGAGATCAATTGAGCACTACGTATGGTGTGCATAGGAATCGGGCGATCAAGATCATAGTCAAACAAGAAACAAACATCAATACCGCATTGCAATTCTCCGCTAGTTCTTCCGCCTTCATGTTACACCTTCCAATCTTTATTGCCATGTCCGGCCCGTTGGGAATGTTCAAAGTCGTGCAATTAAGCGCCTCCTTAATTCCCCCAACCGGGTCCTTCTTTTCGATCACCACCGGCCACGGCTTTTTGTTCGCGTGCTTGTAGAATGTTTTGCCGAGCTCTCTCGGCATGATCTCAATAATCGACTTGTCGCAGAGGAAGAGGTCGTAGCTGCGCGCCAGCTCGCGCTTGTCCTGGAACTGCTTGAATTCCTTCTTCAACTTATCGACAGAAATCACTTTCTTCACCTGGGATTTTTGAGTGGGTTTTGTGTGCATGATGGGACGAGCACATGAATTGGTGTAACTGGAAAAGTACAGCTACAGGATGCGCTTTTCGATGTCTTGCTCTTTTCATGCGTGTCGTAGCAATACAAGAGGAACTACCATACCTTGTGATGCAAAACAAATATAAGGAAGAACAAACAATAAACAAATACCGCCTCGACGTTCTCTTCTTTGATCATGTTCTTCCACAATTTTCGCTTTTTTTCGTGAAATTTCTTCTCCCGATCTTCCAAGTCGTCCCGCACGAAAACGCAAACATCGGAGGATGTATAGCTGTTTTGATAATTTCAAAAGTTTTGCGAAATTTATCATGCGATGAACTGTACGAAACAAAACATGGCTCTGGCAAATGTAACGCTACTCAGTACAACATCATACAAATTCACGGTATCAGTATGGGGTCATCAAAATCTGTCATGCAAAATCAAAAGGCAAATTACAATGGGTGCGGCAGCGTGATCCTTTGTGGTTTGTGCACCGCCTTGGCTGGTATTTCCGTCAGGGAGAATTTCAGCAAAGCCGTCTCGGTATTCTCGTCGAAGAGCTGGTTTTTATTCTGCTCTTGATTCCTCTGCTTCACAAACTCCAACAGGCCCTTGCAGGCGCCAGTGACAACCGCCTGGTCGACTTTCATTTTTAGATATTAGCCTAGAAAAAAAGGAAGTGAGGAATTAAATTTGCAGTGAAAGTAGGCGAAGACGAAATTGTCGTGATGTCGTGTGGGAAATCAAGGAAAGCGTGAAAACGAGTTCTGCATTAGACTTGGGATATTAGAGACTCGATCTCTGAAGTAATGCACACTGTTAGCGTATCAGAAAGTGCACTAAAAAGTACTAGAACTCGATGAATAGTCTGTGCCTGGTAGAAAGATGCAGATTTATGTGCGATCACAGTTCTTGTTGCTACAGAAATATGACCACTTAGAAGACGACAGAAGCAGCATTTATCTTGCAGCTCTCGTCGCGAGTCGAGCGAGCACAGGTGATCCCAAAACTTACTTTCTTGTTGAACCATTCTATGGACCATGCAATCGGTGTTGTCATCGTGAGCTTCGTGATCCTGATCTCGTGTAAAACATTCTTGTGATCCTTTTTTCGTCGGTGGCAGTACGTGCTTCACGATCCTCGGGAAAATCCTGGCATTTCCTATAAGGGATTGATCTTCCGAACTCGAGGCTTAGTAAGTCAGATCTTTGCAGATCTTCTTCTTCATGATAATCCGACATTTTATTCATGATCGTTTTTTCTTGCTGATATCTACCTTCTTCACTTAGCAAAGATTCCTGCGAAATCAGCGGTCTATGTGACAGGTTACCGCCCACCGCCTGCGGGGGCTGTTGTAACTACGTAACTACTTTTTGTGGTACGACGTGGAGGTCCAGCCCATCGCGTGGTGGTGAATGAAACTTATTCGCCTCGTTTGCCCCTTGCCAGTGCGGTAACGAAAGCAAATGCAAATACTTACATGATGACAAGAGATGGTTTTATTTACTTCTTCTCCGATTTTCAAGATGATTGAATTTGAAGGTGAAACAACTGTACTATTCAGAGGTCATCATGCGAGTTACTACTCGTTCTGCGCTGCCCCTGCTTCTTTACATTTTCGCAAATTTCCTGAAATTCGATTGCCTCCTCTACATACTCCTTCAGCAAAACTAACTGCTTCTTCCTCGACGACACTCCGGGGAGCATTGCCGTCTCAATCGTGGCGCTCTTATTTTTACTCTTATCAGCATCTTCACTTTTCCTATCATTTTCCTGTCGGCTTTGCGTGATGATCACTTTCCCGGGCGGAAACGTGTTTCGCAAAATCTCCTTCTCCTCGTGAAATGACTCAGGTAAGAGCATCGTTGATCCCTTCCGGTCCGGATGGATGGAGACGAGGAAGAAGAAGTAGAAAGTCGGGCTTTTCGGATCCAGTTTCTCTATATTTTTCTTCGCGCTTTCCATACTCTTCGCCAACTGTGCCGTCCCCTCGTCGTGCAAGATTTTCTGCAGCGTCGCGGTATCCAGAAATTCCGCGACTCCGATGTGCACGTTGCAACTCCCCGCAGTGAAGAGCTTCGCGTCTTTTTCGAGGAGTTTGTCAAAGGAGAGAGCGGCTAATTCTGCGTCTTTCGCGGTTGCCATTTCTAGCCACATTTTGTTCTGGTTGTTCGGGGAAAGGCTCAGGAAGGCGTTGATAACACTCACCGTCTTCCGGTCGACATCCGTTGTGGTAGGAGAGGTCAAGTTCACCGTGTCAGAAAGAATAGCGTAAAGAATCAAGCGGAGAATGGTTTTCGGGATGAGGCTTAGCAGGTCCTTTGTGCGCTCCTTCTGCATGATGATGTTTTCATCTTCACCGACCTGGTGCTGCTGCTGCGCTACTGATGGCGAGGACGCAGCGGCTGCACTATCGGAGTTCTCTTCTGCTGGATTTGTCTTCGCAGCTGCTCCAGCTGCAACAGCACCAGCAGCCTCCTGTTCCTTCTTTAAAACCGCTTCTAAGTACGTCGTGTTCATTTTCTGAAAAAGCAACGTCGCCGTGGAGCCCACTTGCATGTACTCGACCATGTTGGATGCAATTGCTGCGCTGCTGTCGATTTTGTGGTGGTCAAAAATTGCAACGACGTCGGCCAGTCCCTGCTGCACTGCCACCGGTCGCTGCTTCTCCTCATTATGGTCTACCAGGACGACGCAGGGTTTCGTTCTGGGTTTAGTTCCCTCAGCTGTACGTTTTGCCACTTCGTCCGAAATGGCAGCAGGCGCGGCCGTGATGAACGCCAGTGCCAGTGGTTCAGCTCCGGTTGATCCACTTACTATTTTTCCCGCGTCGGTTGCGTTTGCCTGCTTCGAAGCTGCGTGCGCGTCTGCCAAAACCAGCTGAACGTCTTTGCCCAAGTCTTTTTCCGATGCCGGTAACGTCGCTACACCATTGTACATCCAGGCTGCGACCACAGCGGACGCGACCGTGTCCACGTCCGGTGCTTGGTGGCCGACAAAGAAACAGCCGGTGAGGGATTTGTTTTTTTCCTTTTCCCGTGCGGCGCGAAGCTCCGTCTGGAGCTGGTTTAGTTGGGTGGCACGGGCCGGTGTTGTACTAGCGGAGATTGAGGATGTGCTGCAAAGTAGATGAAGTGTCGTGACGAGCAATGCAGTCGTGTTACGCTGCAGTTTTGCGAGAGTTGGGGAAGGTGTCGTGCCAGCAATCATTGCCCTACCCGCCTCGGAAGCAGGCGGTAGACGACGACCTCTGGGTGGGAGATGCTGATCCATCTTCGTGGAAAATCAATATAAATCTTTGATAATTGCGTAAAGGACTGCGACTGCTTACTCTGGTCTCATAAACATTTCAATTTCTGAAGACACGCCACGATGAAAGATTGATAGATAAACATGGATTAAAAATTATCTGGGGTTTGCGCACTACGAGTGCTACTGCTAGCTAGCTTGTCCTCGTCTCTACAACTGGCTTTGAATGGCAAGTCTCTCTAGCACCAGCAGGAGCAGCGCCAGGTAGTAGAATCGAAATCGATTCCTCCAGCATAGAAAGAAAAAATTGAAGTCTGCAGATCTCCAGGACCGACATTGGTTAGTTTGGAGCAACAGATGTCCCACATTGCGATGTTGTTGGGTCTTCGCGGATTGAAACCGAGACAATAAACGGATCATGTCACCCGAAGCTGAGCTTCACCGACAAGAAAGAGGTGGAGTGGCTGGAGTTGATAGTGAAGTACCCGAGTCAGTGACACTTTGTCTTTCGCTTTCCTGCATGACTACGGCAAAGCTACTACGTGTTCAAAGCCAAGCGTCGACTGATTGATTCTGGTGAAGCAGCAATCGTGGCATAAAATCAGTTTTTCCTTGGGCGAAAGAATTGGTTTGTTTTTTCCAAACATTGAAAAATTATGCGCGTGAGCGTGAGGGTTCGGTTTTTATTTTTTTCGTACCAGAAGCAGAAACAGTTGAAACTTTGTCAACACATAGACATACATTCGTCAATTCAACATCAATATCGAAATTGAGACACAAACGAGCTAATCGCTCACAAATCCTCTTTCCCACCCTTTTTCTTCGCACCCTTTCCTTTCTTCTTTTTCTTACCCCCGCCACCACCGCCGTTCTTCTTTTTCGTATTCTTGAGCCCCACCTTGGCGTGCGGATTTTCGGACCCAATCCCCCCGTCCATGGGTTTGATGTGTGCCGACAGCCTTCGGTTGCACTTGGCCGCGTGCTTGCACGTCATCATCGCTAAGTGTTCGATGTTCAGCTTTTTCATCTGTTTTAGGATGAACCGCGCAATTTCGTCTCGGCGGCTGCCGATGGTCTGTTCGCAGGAGAAAAAGACGATGTCCTTCCAAAGCTCGTACGTGTTCACGGCGTGATCCGAGGGGATCTCCTTCACCGACGTTGGCGGATGAACACACGGCCAGGTCTTGCGCTCCTCTTCCGGACCTGATGTGACGAGTGGACGGATGGTATTTTTGTCGTAGGGTGCTCCTGCTTGTCTCGTAGTCGTAGTTTGCTATCAGTATCTTTTGACAGCAGGGGCAAGACGACACGGACACACATGAAGAACTACTACGTACATCGTAAAGTAGACCCTAAAGAGGCTGAAATTGAACGTAAACAAATTTATACAAATCAGTACATGGCCTGATGTTGTACCCCAAGTACAGAAAGTCGTCCTTGAACAACTTGGCACAGCCCACTTTCTTGTTCAAAACCTGCGCTATCCCGCGTAAAAAGTTCCCCACCCCATAGCTGTCATGCAAATCTGCATGGTGGAACTGTCTCGCATGCGGAGCCCCATGAGAGGCATCCTCTTGGCGTGTTTCCGAATTTGTCATGCTCCAATCAGGATGATGCGCTAGGCCTGTGATGCTGCTGAACTAGCCCAGCAGGATCACGCCACGAGGCCAAACTTGTCATGCGCAACAGCCAAAGCTTGTTGATTTGTCTTGCTGATTTCCCAACTTGACAATGGTGCGGGGGCGTTTTTAGATACGATATGCACTTGGACGCCGTCATTGACCGTCTGGTTCCAGTCCCGGCCGTCCTTGTATTTTATCGCCAATAGGTATGAGATCGCACAAAACCCCCTCCCCCACGTTTGTCATGCTAAATACCAAATCCAAGCGCTGCATTGTGGTACTCTTTGCATTACAGATTCCGAAAGCCCGAGGGGGAGCTGTGCATTGTCATAACATGCTACGGTCCGTGCCCGGGTCGCGGTGCCCCTCCATGTAATCAAGCAGGTGGTCTTCCGTGACCCTCTTACTCGCGATTTTCGCGAAGGGGCGAAGGTCTGTTGGAGTTAAACCCGGGTTGAATTCGTCCGTTATCTGCGGCTCCAGATCAGTGGCGGTTACTTCATCATTTTCGCCGAGAGAAGAAGTTGAAGCGGTAGTACTAGCATCCAAGGAATTTGTCGAATTTTTATCTTCCCCGTCCACGGGGAGCTGCACCTTCTCGAAGTCGGTGAAATTTCTCTTCAGCATCGTCTTCAGCAGCGTTGTGCAAACGTCGCAGCGGGCGAAGTCCGCCAAACGGATGGCCTCAGTCTCGTCGGCCTCCGTCGGGCCCTTCATGTAGACGTTGTAATATCTGAAAAAAGCGCCGATGGTGCCGGAAAGCTTCCCGTCAATCGGTTGCATGCCCTCGGGATGGACGGATTGCAGCTCCGGCGTCATCCGCTGGACACTGGCGTCGAGTTGTTCTTGAGCAAAGGCAAGCTGCAGAATAAAATTATGGGGTACAAAGATGAGAAATAAGTGGGATGCCCTCAACAGCGCATTGCAAAAACGGCAGCTGCCTGTCGACATCTTGCTGTCACCCTGCTGGAAGGCGGTGTAGTTGTTTATGTTTGTCTCTCTGAAACTCACTTGCAGATGCAAGCAGAGTCATGAGTGTTTGCGGGTGCCCTAATTATGTATTACGAGGCACGAGCGAGGACAGTCTTGCCGAAAAATCAAGGAAGCGGGTGCTCACGTGCAAGCGAAGTTACAGTTAGCGTAGCCAAAGAGCTCCGCGAAGATCATTCTTCAATGGGCAACAAACACAACAAGAGAACACGACAACGAGAAACAAGACATTCCTAACGAACTCGAACGCGGGGGCAAACATGCAGGCCCCAAAGCAAACTCTTGCTTTATTCTTTTTTCAGAAGCAGCTGCTGGCACTCCAGTGGCACGTTAATGGCAACAGCCCAAACAAGAATTGCAGACGGCCGCGGAGCGCCGCTCGCAATGAATGCGCCGGCCCACGCCATAGGGCGGCGTCACTATCTATCTAGCACGGGGGGCCGCCCGGCCGCTACGCGCGTCCGTGGCCTGCGGGCGCTCGCAGTGGCTCTCGCCGGCCCAAGCATCCACGGCTAGCCACCCCGACTGTTCCTCGCGGGCGGCTCGCCCAAAGTAGGCAATGAGCCAAAACAACAGGAGACGGGCCAAGGAAGGGCGCGGGGGCCCGGGTGAGGGGGGGCGCGGACGGATGGGGCGGCCGACCAATCGAAGAGCCGGCCCCCTGGCCTAGGGGGCGGGCAAAGCCGGCCCATGGAATGAATGCCCAGCAAAGGGCGAAAATAAAGGGGGCCGGGGGCCGCCGATGGGGCGCCAGGAATTTTGTACGTAGTAGTAGTAGTATTACGTCACCCACAGACGGCAGGGAACCCGGAGAAGCTTGCAGCCGGCCGCCTTCATCTGGCCGCTTTCCGAAGCCACACGCCCTGCGCCGTGCGTCTAAACTTGGAGACGTCGGCGCGAAACCCGTCGGAAATGCGGCGGGGGAGTCGCGGTTGAAATGCGAATGGTGTGACCGTAGCCAATTCGTAAACTACCCTGCCCAAGGCCGGCAGATCACACAACTCACCGACAAGGCCGCGTCGACATCTGCCCGGCTTTCTCGATTGGGGCGAATACGCCCGCCCCTGTTCGCGCAGTACATTTATAGCCCGGACCCGCCGGCGTGCCCCTACTTCTGAAATTGAAACTGTCTGCCTGGGCACCCGGCGCAGGCGATCCCACCCGGGGGGCCACCCGCCCAGGCGGAGAGCTTCGGCGGGGCGGGTCGGTCCCGGGGTTTCTTGGCGCGCCAGTAAGCGCGCGGGCTACCGCTTCGGCTTTACCCACCCCAGCAAGGCCGGTCGCCGAGCGGAATTGCCCCCGCGCGCCGCCCCCAAAAGAAGCCGCAAACCCCTGCCGGTGCGCCACCGCCTTGGGCGTGCTGCGTGTGAACGCGCGAAACTCACAAGGGGCGCCCTTTCGCCACTGACTGCGGAAGCCGAATCTGCGCCACCCCGCCTCTGTCGCGGGGCGTCCTTAATTGCGCCAAATCTGCGAAAATTTTACAAGCGGGGAAGGCCCTGCGGAATGAGCTCTCGCTCTTCGGCTGGGCCCGGGTAAATATCAAGGCCCGCGCGCCCCGGCCCCTGGGCGGCTGGAAGCGAGGAACGCGGCGCGCCCGGGAAGCATACAACTACAAGGGAGGGCCGCCACCATGGGCCGGCCCCCACACCTCGCAACCGCTCGCGTCTTGACATAGAAGAGGCCCTTTCTCTGGTGGGTCGGTGCCTGTTCCACGTCAACAAACTCCGAGCGCTTCTCTTCGAGATTCACACTCCCGCCGGCCGATACGGGCGCGCAAAGTTTCCCAAGCTGTAGAAGCCGCCCCTATTTTAAAAGCGGGCTACTAGCCGAGACGGAGACTACCCGAGTAGCAAGACCACCAGGGGAACACATACACAACACCGGGAAACGCTGCGTGCGCTATGTATAGTGCTCTGCAACAATCTTTCTGTGCGTTCCATTCTCGGCACAACAAAACACTGCAAATGCGCTGGTTGTGATCGGCGATGGAACGTGTCGCCACGCATCTATCTACAAGTACAACTACAACGGTCAAACTGCTAGGCATCATAAGGCCAATCCAAACGATGTTAAAGTCGCCAGAGACCTGCTCGCTTGATTTGCCGCGACAAGGGGGAAGGATACAGCAACAGCATACAGCTGTGCTTGAGGATAACAAAATGTAAGCAAAACAGTGTGTGCACGCTTTTCGAATTCACATTCAGCTTAGGTAGAAAATTCTATACTTATATACGAATAGAAGCATAGCATCTTTTATTTCGAATAGATGTAGTGCAAGTGCTAGCGTGTTGATACAATAATTTTGTCTCATTTTTTGGCAGTGAAGACGCCTATTCATGGAAGGCGAAACATTGTACAAGTTTGTGTTCGATCAGTAATTCTTTGTTCTACAACAACAAGGGAACAACAACAGCACAGGGAAACGCGATGACTAAAGCTAACCTTTGCGTAATCGTAGTTTACTTTTACGCCTGTCTCGACCGCGTGTGCCATAGTCTCAACCCTCTTCCGCTTCTCCGCAGAAAAATTTTGTTTCAAGACCTCACCCCGTCATCCACACAGAACCGCCAATGGAAACAGATGCGTCGGCGGCCACAGTGCGATCGTCGCTAACATCACCCACTGTGAAGTAGCGTTCTGGTGGATCGTGAAATACCAGACCAATTGCGCAAATCCCAGCATCGACAAACACCAGGAGACGACGAAGCAAACTTCCAAATTCCGGAAAAACTGCCGCAATTCGTGGCGGTAACTCGCCGCGTCCAGCTTGTACTCGGAGGACGTAACAGCAGCGCTCGCATGATCGGCTTCACGAGAAGAGCTCTTCCGAGTGCTGAATTAGAATTTTGATGTTTTAAATTTGATGTATCCATACTTGCAAGAGAACGAAAAGCAGTGCGAGCAAGCATAGAGAAGCAAATCCAGCGGCATGTCACATTTTTCTATGTACCTCCTACTCCGCGTCGGTGTGAACAAAAGTTTTTCGTCCTCTTTCCCCGCCGACTTCCTCTCCCCGGCACCATTCCTCGCCACCACCCTGCCCTGCACGATCGGAAGCTTGATCTCCCCCGTTTTGTAAAAAACATCGCTCTCGTCCCGATCGTCCAAAGCCCCGCCAGTGGTCAATAGTTCCCTAGCTTGTTTACTCGCCGGATTAAACGTGTCTTTCGACCCGTTTTCACTAGTCGTCGTCCCGTCCGCCATGTGGTAGTGCTGCGCGACTTGCGATCTACTGATAAAAGTTGTCTCGGAAGAGGAGGAGATAGACGCGACAGTGCCGGTGAGAACGTTCTTGCTCGTCGTGGTCGACGCATGCGGGTAGTTTGCGGCAGTAGTGCCTCCTGGAACTATCGTCCCGACCGAGGAGGCAGAACTGCTCCGATGGATGTGATGTTCGAAAGCAGCGCCAGGAGTTGTGCCTTTGTTGCTCTCATCCCCGGACGCAGTCGTGCTTCCGCCTTGCTCAACATCGATGTTTCTTGATGGTTGCTGCAATAAATTCACGGGCTCCAGCAAATTAATCGGCTTTTGCCACTCCGGCTGCTTTTTCTTCTTTTCTTGATTCAGCTGCTGTTCGGATTCGGTTGTGGAGAAGGCGGAAGAGGTTCCAGAGGACCCGGAGGCTGTAGTGGAGGCTCCTACTGGTCGTACTCCTTTTTCTTGTTTTCCATCCGTTTTGATGTTCGTCGCCGTGTTCCCCCGCACAGCAAAATCCAAACCCAAATCTTCTTGTTCCTCCGCACTGGAGCTGCTGCTGCTCGACGAGGTTCCGATGTAGATCCCCTTCTCGATGTCCCCGCCGAGAAACAAGCCTGCCGCCCCAGTCACCGGTAGCTCCGACCGCCAGTATTTGTCGGACTCAAACGACGCTAAAAGCGGATCTTCCTCCAGCATGTTGCTGTCCTCCCAAACCGACGGCCCCGCCGGAAAATCGGAGATCGTTTCGTCCTTTTTCGTGCTGTCCGCGGTATTCCGGCTCTTGTTGTTCGCGTTCGAAATGGTGGTCCCGCCGGCCGCACCAGATTTCCGGCTCACCACGGAATTCTGCAGGATCTTCTGCCTCGGGAACAGCCCCATGCGGTGGGTTTCGAGAATCGAGCACCGCGTGAAGGCCTCGCGATTGAGCAGGTCGGAAATGTTGGGGAAGGGAAGTTGTTTTTTGGGTTTTTGACTGGTCGCTGCGTTGATGTCTTCGCGTTCGGCATGATTCTCCTCCTCGTCATTAGACGTTGGTAGCGCGAGCAACATCGGGCACTTCTGCTGGCTCATGTACCCGATGCGAAAGAAGATGAGCCTGCGTTGATGATGAGACGTGAGTACAACTGCTTTGTCAACATGCAGCTGCTAGACAGCTTTTCCTTTCTGATCCAAATTCGGCTTTGATACAGGAAGATTTTTTTGTGATCATGCAAAACCAAAAACCTTTGTACTAAAATGATCCAAGAAGAACTTATACCTTCCCAAATCCATCGCCAGCGTGCACGACGACAGCCCCAACGCGACCACGTACAAGGTCAGAAACAGTGTCACACTGGCCAACCCCCACGGCACCATCGCCAACGCCAGTGACCCACTCAAGGTTAGAACCAAGATGAAGCAGTTTGTGAACGACAGCCGCGAGGCGTAAACTAATCCCTTCCGCGTCCGCGCTTCAAACGCGATCCAGACCGCTCGGGTGTAGCAGTTGGAGTAGATGGATTTGAACCACGATTTCACATCGGAACAAACGCAGGGCGGGTCCACCGCCGCTTTGACCACGTTTTTTAACGCGTACTGCTTGTGCATGTTGACATCGTGGTTCTGCACCGACGTGATAGCACTATCCTCGTTCCAACTGGGATCATCCCTTTCAATGCGGTAAATCGGGTGTCGGTACCAGGAACAGAGAAACAGGTTCAGCGCTGCTTTTGCCGACATCAGACGGAACAGGTTTGGCGCTAACGCGATCGTTTCCTCGATCGACCGCTCGTACCAGGGAAGGTGGTGAGAAGTACCGGCTGTAGTAAAACTTCTACTGCTGAGAAGATGCGGTTCATGCTGCTGCGCTGTTCCGCTTCCGATCATGAACATCTTTGAGTTTGAGGTAGTCCCGTGTTCCAGAAAGGAAAGCCACGCAGTCTTGCTGTCATCTGTGGCCATCATCTGTGTAACCGATGACCCGATCGCCGCGCCAGCGCCGGCAGCCGCACTCCCGAAAGAGGAGGAGCTACCTGTTGTCATCGACGGCCCCGCGACTGCGATCAGCGCGAGTGCGGAGAAGTACACAGCGAGCATCAAGCTGCCGTGAGAAGCGAAGTATAGAAATTGCAGTCTCGGTGTTGGCGTGTAATCGCCGAGATACTTCTCGATCGGTTTGCACCAACAGGAAGTAACCGGCTCACGTTTACTAATTGCGTTGTTGGTAAACGGCGCGGTGGCGTGTCTGGACAAATATTCACACATCAGGGACTCCCGGACAGTTGCGAAGGGGATTTTGTTGTTATTTTTCGCCGAGGTTTTGGTGTTTGACGCGGAGGATGATTTACTTGTCGGGCTAGCACAGCCGGTCCCGGTTTGGTCGGAAGGTCGGTTTTCATCTTTTGCAGGGGAGGAAAACGTCGACGAGTGTTGGTTGGCGATCTCCTGTTCGTGATAGAACGCCAGATCATTTGCGCCGATGGCCACCACCCGGCCGTCATGCGTGAAAGAAGTTGCCATTTTTTCTCTTCGAGATTGTGCGATGAGTCTTTCACGTTCTACGTACGTCTGGTTTCAAATCGTACACCGTTCTTGACTTCGAGTCTTGTGTACACCTACATTGCCCAGAACTTGTACCAACATCTGATCCTCGATCTTCAGACCATGCAAACTCGCGTGGTGCGTCAAGCGATCGTTCTTCCTCGTTCTTGGCGATCTTTCGACACATGTTTATGCTCTTCGATAGAAGTAACGACTTCACGTTCACTAGTAACAACGACCAAAAGGAGCGATTACGATAGCGAACTCGAGCAGAGAACGACGAAGACTTTATTCCCCAAAACGAAAGGCGAAGTTGATTCTTATAATTTCGAACGATCTGGCGTGTGCGACTCATCGATACAAGGAGCAATGGCAATCTCAAAAATACACTGGCGTCATACGATGAAGTACATCAAGTACGAAGTAGCGCGAGTCAGTTGTAAAGTGCGAGCTACCATTACGCCCGTGAGATACTCGTGCTTAGATGCGGAATAACTTGATTCTGATTTTTGCTTGGATTGCTCGACCTGATATTTGGTTGAAACCTGGCTGCGAGCGGAAGAATTGGAATTCTGACGACTCTCACTATTCATCAAGCCACAAAGTAATCCAATATGCGTTTGCAGTTCCGCAATACCGCAACCGTCTTTCGCGGAGATTGCGTGAATCGCAGGAACAATCGGCGCCTCAGGGCCTGTTTCGTCCTCTGGATACAAATTGTCGGAATCTGTATTGCTGGCGCGTCGAGATGAAAAGCAAGCGCTGGATGAGGTCGAAGATGCGGCCTTATTTTTGTTCAAAAACTTTCCCAACATCTTCCCCCCGTACAACCTCCTTCTCGCCTGTTGCTCTTCCGTCCAAAACAATTCGTCGAACGGCAACGGGTCCCTCAACTCCAAAATCCTCTCGCTCGCTGCTTGGACCGCTTCGTGCAACTCCGTTCTGGTTAACAAATCCACCTTTGTCAACACGATCAGCTTCGTGTACCCGCGGAAAACCTTCCGCCAAACTTGTTCGTCCTCGGTCTTGATCCCCTTCCGAGCGTCGACCAAGCAGACGACGCATTTCAACAATCTCTTCGAGCACTCCTGGTCACAGAACTTCTGCAGTAGTTCTTTCCATTTATTCCTCAATTGCTTCTCTACCTTCGCAAACCCGTATCCAGGTAAATCGACAAAGTTGAACTTATTTCGCACCTCGAAGCGGAACAGGTGTTTGGTCTGCCCGGGCGTGCCGGAGGAAAACGCAAGTTTTCGGTTGTTGAGCAGTGAATTCAGCAAGGTTGATTTCCCGGCGTTGGATTCGCCGATGAAGGCGATCATGGGAAGTTTGGTTTCCAGCGTTTCCATGGTTGCGGCCACGAGCACCGGGTGCGCCGTGACGGGTTTGGAGAAAAGTTTCTGGCGTACTAGGAGGGTTTGATGTTGTTTCGCAGATGAATCACTAGTAGCAGCTCGGATCATATCCAAGAAAAAAACACCATCACAATCACGGTTGGGAAGTTTTGCATCAGAAATTTGTCTCGCATGACAAATTTTTCTTGTATTGCAAAAACACAAAGGGAAATCGCCTATAACTCTTGACTGTGATGCAGTTTTGCGCATGACAAAATTTTTTGTATTACAAAACTGTGCAAAAGTGATTGTGATGGTGTTTTTTTCTTGGATAGATCAACGGAGCGAGGTCGTAGTTATTTTCTGCTGGGGTCGTGGTCCTTGTTGCGGTTGTCTTGCTCCTGCTGGACGTCGCAGCTGCGAAAGACGACGACGAGGAAGAGGAGGAAGCACTGCCTGAAGAAGATCCGCTTGCCGTCGCTTCTGCCAGTGTGATGAAAGGTTTGGCCAAGTACGGCACCGTTTTGGTTGGCTGGAGCACACTTGGAACCACTCGAGCCGCTTCGAGCAGGGAGGACCGCATTTCTTGTTTTGCAATGCCAGCGATGAAAAGAACGAAAGCTGCTTCTAATGGTCTATGATCGAGACAGAGAGGACCACATCCAAAAAGAAAATGTCAAACAAATCGCTAAAACAAGAACAACCAAAAGTCACAGAGAATGACCTTCGATCTCATTTTCGGCTTTGCTTTTTGGCCAATGGAAGTCAGGAGCTCTGTGTTGATATAGAAAAGACAGCTGGCAGCACTTTTTACTGAAGTAAGTAGATAGGAGTAGAGGAACCGGCAAGGAAACCTCCGAACAAGCAAACATTACTAACCGGCGAAGAGAACAAATGTAGCCTACGATCACGAAGACGACGTGTTCCGCCTCTAAAAATGATACGGTTTTCTCTACTTTTATTTTAGCGCGTCGCAACATTGAAGAAAGATATCAAAGAACTCAGATGTTTTTCACAACTGTGTTGCAAGTCGTCCTACCACAGTAATACCGTTTTGATGCATGACAAGAAGAACTGGTTTATTTTTGACACGCTAACCCTCTTCGTTAGACATCTCAGATGATGCTTCATCGAGTAGCAGCCCGTACAATATTGAGCGTAGTTGGTTTTGAAAAAGTTTTACTTTCCTGTAGAAAGATCGCGCGAAGTTGTTTGTTTCAAGACAGGGACCAACAGCGCACCACGACACATTACTTCGAACTCTGGTTTATGACGTTCAAGCACTGCAGTCTGGTTTCGCAGGCCTGTAACGCGAACTCCCCACACAGCGCCGCTTTTGCCTCCTTCAGCCACGGTGTGATTTTTTCCTTGACAAAGCTGTGTTTCGGCAGGTTTTCCAACGCGTAGACCGCGGAGAGCAGATCGCCCTTCTCCACAAACTTACTCGCCGCGTGGAGGCAGTCCAGGGAAAGTTCTAGCTGGGTCGTGCCGTTTTCACTTGTCGTCCCTGCAGAGGGTCGTGTCGACGGCTGCTCTTGTGCTTCCATGGTACTACTCGCAGCGGGACTAGTTGTCACGACTCCCCCCGTGCCTGACGACACAGAATACACCCTCCCGATCACATTGGCGTACACATGGGACCAGAGCGAGCTCGGCTTTTCGACAAAGCAGGCGACCACCCATTTTCGCAGCGTGTCGTCGAAGGATTTGGCCACCTCTAACGAGCTGCGTAGCAGGGTCCCAGACTCGCACTTCTGCATGGCGTCTTTCGCAAGTTTTTGGGTTATGGCGTCGATTTTCTGTGCGGCGAGGGGAGAGAAGGCGTCTTTCGCGTCCTTCCGTTGGCCGGCAAAGTTGATACCTAAGTTTAAGTTCATTGCAGTGGTCCTCGTTGTATAGACGATGTGGAGTAAAATTAAGAGATAATATCATACGTGTGCGGCGTCAAGAAGAACACACAGGCTTTTATGCTCCCCAGTTCTGCTTCTGGTCGTGGCCCACGAAATAACCGACACGCATGACAAAAGATTGAAGTGATAGCAACCACAAAAAAATACGTGCCGCGTTCGTCATTTTTTGCAGTTGGCGCTGGTCTTTCAGCTTTGCAATTTCTTCGGAGTCTTCTTCGACCACCCGGCTCAGGCCCATGATGTCACCCGCCGCGTCCGCCAGGGACATTGCGTAGTTGGCATTCCTGAAGGAAAATTGAATGTGATTATATTCTCCTCATGTCTTGTTCTGCTCAATACAACGCATGAGAAAATCAGCCCGTGATTGAAATTCAGCATGACAGAGAAGAACAAAACTGATTCTTCAAATACTGCTCCAGGAGCGTCTCCTCCGCGACGATTCCGTACTCTGTCAGAACCTTGTCATTCTGCTCCGTTAAGGTTTTCTCGCAGGACAAAAGCGCTTTTTCCAGCTCCACCTCATTATGCATTGCAAAAGTATCGCACTAGTAGAAATAGCATTACAAATTTTTCCAGAAGGAAAAATGAAATTTGTAATGCTGAATAAGCTAAGGAACCAGATTTGTCACGCATGACTGCAATTACTACGAGTACGATACTTTTGCACAGGATACTCATACTCTTCTCCCAACTTCTTCTCCACTTCCTTCTTCACACTTTCCACCTCCTGTCTCGACAGTTCCGCGAAGTGCTTCGTTGCGTTTTCTATCTTCTCCACCGCCTGCACTTCAAATTTCTCGTTGAAGTTCGCAATCTCCTCGCTGAGCCGGATCGCGAAATACTTCCGGTTCTCGGCGAGTTGCTGGGTACGGTCGAGAACGCGGGTGACAAGCTCGTCGCGGGAGAGAGTGGCGATCTGATTTACGTAGCGTTTCGTCGTGGTGTGTCGTGCACGATGTTATGACATGATTAAGTTGAAGATTTTTATTGTTCTTACAAAGCAGAAGCAGCTGTCTGTGTTTGCATTTACAAAAAGGGCACAGTTGCATGGTGCCACAGCCACAATGACAGTTTCATCAAGTAATAAATTGATACACTCTCCTCCTCCGCCTTCACAAAATCTGCCACTGCGAAATTCTTCAGCCCCACCTCTTCATTCTCCTTCTTCCTCTCTGTGAGCTGTTTCAGCAATTTCCCGGGTGCGAGCAGTAACTCCGCTAACTCTTTTGTGTGGCTGCCCCCGTCGACGCAGTTCAACTTTTCACATTCCTCCAGCGCTTCCAACGTCGCCTTCTTGTCCTTCTTCGTAACCGCGGTTTCTAAAGCTTTGACGGCTTCAACTTGCTTGCCGCTCTCGTGCAGGGCGACGTCAATGCGTTGGAGGAACTGTGAAGACTTATTTGTGTGTATAGCTTGTTCATGTGAGTTATCCACAGAAAGAAACCTATCCTATCCCTAACTACTTTTTGCATGACAAAAAAAGGGATGAGAAATTAGAAGTCTCTGGACGTACAGGAAGTACTTTTTACCTTTGTTTGCTCGATCGGGTCTTCCAGCAACGGTGTGTCTCCGTCGATCTTCCCGGCCAGGTCCAGATAAGCTTCTTCATGCTGTGCAAAAGTATCGCACTCGTACTAATCGCAATTGCGCATGCGCGCCGAATGACAGACCTATAAATAGCGTATATTCAAATCAGCATTGCAAATTGCGATTTTTTTTCATCTGGGAGAATTTGTATTGCAACTTATACTACGTCCTAGTGCGATTATACTTTTGCCATGCATATTCTTTTGTCTGTGCCAGTTCCTTCCGTAACTGCTCGCTCGGCGCCGTCGTCGCTAGCCGTTTCATCTGCGTCTCGATGTCTTCCCTTGTTTTTAAAATCCTGGTCTTCTTCTGCTTCAACGCCAAGACTTCCTCGGGCTCCATCAAATCCTCATTCGGCGGCAACAGTCTGTCCAACGCGGTCTGCTTCTCTTCCAGGTTTCTTTTCGTTGTCTGTAAGTCGTTTTGCAGTTTGAGTTTATCTTGCTTTACGCTATCCAGTTGCTTCCTGTTCGTCAGCACGGTTTGCTCCGAATTTCGCAGGGCGCTCTGCAGCTTCTGCTGCTCTTCGAAGCTGGTTTGGGCTTTTCGCTCCAGCTGGTCCTTCTGTTGCTGCAATGCTACCGCTTCCTGTTGACTGTCGTACGCCTGTTTCCCGACGAAGGCAACGCCAGCGGCGAGGGCAAGATTTGCGGCGTAGGAAAGCATGGCGGTCGCTGAAGTTGTCGTCGTGGAGCTGGAGGTCGACGACGAAGTTCCGGTGCTAGTGCTTGCTGCGGCGGACGAAGTAGATGCTCCGCTAGAACTACTTTTCGTTGATGCGGCACCACTAAAAGCACCTGCGGACGAAGGCGGAGGAGATGCGCTTGCGCCCCCAGCAGCAGGTTTCGCCTGACCAGGCACCACAGGTGGAGCGGACGAAGACGAACTACTACCCGGTGGCTTTCCAACTTTTCCAGCAGCTGGGCCAGTGCTGGACGAGCTGGGAGTTGCAGCGTTTTTTCCGGAAGACGGCGTTGATCCTGAGTTGAAAGCCCTCTGTTGCCGAAGGGTCCTCTGGAGCTGCTGTTGGTGTTGGTGACCATGATCTACTCCTGGGCAGTGAAATAACCACGAAGAGGACGTTGAAGTGGTAGGTTTTGCACCAGCAGTCGTGGACGATAGCAGCCGCTTCGCACTGCGACCCGAGGACCGGAGACGGGTTTGCATCTTAAAGTAGTTTATTTTCAGTCATGTGGTCTTCATCTTCTTCAGGAACCACTTTAACTTTTCATAGAACGAAGCGAAATGAAAAACTCCAATAGTCAAATACAGCTTTCTAGACGATACAGCGACAGGATACGATGTTTCCTTTCAAACAGCAGGTTCGGTGGGGAAACAACAGCGTCACTCTTTTTGCGGCCACGATTGCGGACCATTATCCGTCCCTTGTAGAAGGTCGTCGCGAAAGCTGTTTATGAGTCTACATTTTTTGCGACAGAGAAAAACAAGAACCGCAAGGAGATTTTTGTCAGCCAAGTGATATTAGCTCTTGAAGAGCTGAGGCTGCGGATGGCATCCACCGAATTTATTCATTTTATTGTCGTAGTCGTACATTCAATTCGTCAAGACCAGCGACGCGCGCGCGCTCCACGTCGTGTCTACTTTGCAGTTTATTTGTATTTCAAGCAAAAACTTCGCTGGCACAAATGTGCATTTCTCTTCATCAAAAAGTCGTTGTCCGAGGTACAGTAAATGACTGTTGTAGCTGCACGGATGCAGAAGTTGTGCATTCTTCTTGGAAGTCGGCGGTCAATCCTTATCACCGAAAAACAAGCTTCTTCTTCGGTTCGTCTTTGTAGTTGGCACGCCATCCTCGCAGTCCGAACATCAGCGCACTTCTATCCCCTCGTGCTGTTCTTGCTTCTCACGGCGGCCTGTGCACCTCCTGTCGCAGAAGATGGCATCGGGACCCCGTCACCGCTAATGTTCCCGACTCCAACCGTCGCCAGTGGATCAAGCGGCAATGCCGGGGCCAAGATAAACCCGTTCGGATTGCCCCAAGAAACCTGTTGCTGTTGCTGCTGCGCCGCGAGTTGTGCCGCTATTGCCGCTGGGTCGTTTGGATTCAGTTTATTTCGTGGCTCCGGAAAATACGCTATGCCGTTATTTGAAGATGAGTTTATTCCGTTGGCGTTGCTTGCTCGATGTTGTTGGTCTAGTGCCGGCTGTGGTGCAGCGCCAGGACCACGTGGTTGCTCCGCTGTGCTATTCCCTGTCGTTGCAGGAAGAGGACCAGGAGTTGTTCCATACAGTGGTTTCATCTTCCTCGGCTCTATCATCACTTTTGGTTGCTTCAAGCCGGCTGTTGGATTGGTACCATCGCCGATATAATTAACATCTGCTGCACCCCCTGCTCCGCCCACGACCCCACTTCCTGCTAGTCTCGAATTCCCCGCATTATAAGATGACCCACTCCTGCCGTCCTTGCTGCTAGCCACCAAATTGTTCCCCGCGTCCTTATCCGTCGGTTTTTTGTCCGGCCTGAATTCCCGAATGTCCGCGGAATTCACCGCCAGCTGGTTGTTTGCCCACCAAACGCGGTTGCGTCTCCGCAGTTTGATGATTTTCTTTATGCATTGCAAAAGTATCGCACTCGTATAAAATGCATTACAAATTTTCCCAAGAAAAAAAATCAATTTGTCATGCTATTTCAGGTAGAAAGTTGGATTTGTCATGCATATCTGCAATTAGTACGAGTACGATACTTTTGCACAGGATATTCTTGTACGGCCGTTTGCTGTACTTCGGCATCCGCAGCTGGTGCTCGAATAATTCGTATCAAATGCAAAAGTGTCTGGGTCTGGAAACTTGTGATGCTGAGTGGCGTATCATGAGGAGGCCACAAGTGCTGGCTCAGCATGACAAGCTTCTGAGCTTCTGTTCTAGGTGTTGCTTACTCTGCATGACAGACTGCGTTTCTGCATGACAGAAAAGTGGGGCTGTTGCCGAACGTGCATGACAGATTTAAGAGTCATGCCAGACAAGCATGCCAAACATGCACTCTTCCAGACCCAGACATATTTGCATTTGATAATTCGTCTTGCTGCGACACTTGTCGACTGCCGGATGTTCTACTTCCAATAGGACCTCCTCCTGGTATTACAACAGCATTGTTCCCGCTAGTATTCAAGAACCCACCGTCCTCATCCCCGGAGCCGGCTCCCCCGCCGGGTTCGAAAACACTGGAACTCGGTTCCGGGCCGCCGATGGAAGAGAGGTTTTTCACGTTCTGGCTCTGGGTGCTGGTCGTCATCCTGATGCGCGGAGTCGCGTTGGCGTCGGAAGATGGCTGCTCTTCGAAAGGGTCTTGTTCCCGAGGACGTGTGCTGGACGTGGAGGTTCCATTTGAAGATTTGGCTTTCGTTGACGATGTTGCTTTCACCGTAGTTGTTCCCTCCGGTAAAATCTGGTTTGCCGAAATCAAAGCACCAGTCGTCGCTGTGCTGGAATGAGATTGATGCGAAGAGGACGAGTTTAATATTCCTGTAGGCCCCGTCGACGTCAGAGATTGTCTCATTCGATGTTGGTTCCGGGTCCACGACGCTGCGTCGGTCGACCCAGGAGGAATACCAGCCATGTTCATCGCCGCCACACTTTCCCGGTCGGGCGGCTCTGACCCGTCCTTGCTTGACGCCGAATTATAGAGCTGCGTCGTGTTGATCGCGTTTATTGGATTTCGGTTTGAAAACTCCGCGTTTAAGAGCACTGAACGGATCAAAAACTTCCTCCTCTTCGCTTTCAATGGTTCGTCGGTTGTTTCGAAGTCAGACGCGGAGTCGTATTCGTCTGGCTGATTATCCATTTTCGACGTCGTGTCTACTTTCTTTGCTCTGCTACTTGTTGTTCCCTGCGGACTGCGACTTTTTTTTGTTCGGTTTTTATCAGGTGATAAAGAAGCCGTGGCGTGTGCTTTCAGGCTTGCGGCCTTGTCTTTCACGGCTTGAAGGGCAGCTTCACGACGAGTTGTAGGTACAGTACCGTGCTTCCCTCCTGTTGTAGATGATTCAGATTCTACTGCTCCTGCAGGGGCCCCCACGAATGCGCTGCTGCCGTTTGGCGCCGTGGGCAGATCCGAAGTTGTCGCCCCTGGTAGTACTATCAGCTTCCCGGTCTTTGGATCCCGCCGGCGCGTGATTTGCGGCTCGCCAGGAGGACTAAATAGTGGTGGTTGTGATCCTCCCGAGGATGCTACCTGTGGTGGTCTTGTTGTGGTCTGCGTGTCACTTGAGCTCGACACCGAACTGCTAGTCTCGTAGTAGGGGTCGCGCGAAGTAGAGGACTGCGCGGAAGAACCTCCAGGACCGCCGGTGACGGAGGGTGTAGCCGTTCCTGTTGATTGTTCACCACCAGGAGGATTATTCGTACCAAAATTCTTCTCCCGGATCGTTGCTGTGGTCGCGACGCTTTGCGAGTCCATTCCGCCGTCTTGAGAAAAACTTCGCTGCTCTTGTTCCAATATCCTGTGCAAAAGTATCTGTATCGTACTCGTAGTAATCGGAATCATGCATGACAAATCTCCCTCCTAACCTAAATCCGCATTACAAATTCCATTTTTCATGTTGACGGAATTTGTCATGCGATTTATACTAGTACGATGCTTTTGCATTTCATATCCAACACGAATTGCTGCTTGATCTGCCTTCTACTGTACTCCACGAGCAAGTCTTCGGAGTCTGTCCTTTGCTCCAAAAATTTGTCTATCAAATGCAAAAATGTCTGGGTCTGGAAAAGTGTAAACTTGTCATGCAGGTTTTCCATGACCCATGAGGTCTAGAATGCGGGACCTAGCATGACAGACTCTGTGAGGTCTCTGTCATGCCTATCCTGCATGAGAAACAACCTCCCAACTTGTTCGAAAGTGGCCAGCTTTTTGCACTCATGCAGCAACACAGATTTTTGCATGATTCGGATTTAGCATGAGAAGTTGCAATCTTCCAGACCCAGACATATATTGCAATCCATATTGTCCGCCGCTGCTTGATCCCCGTTGGTCAAGAGTTTCGCCAGCTGATCCACCGTATCCTGTGCAAAAGTATCGCTCTCGTACTAATTGCAATCATGCATGACAAATCTTCTTGTTTCTTAGCGAAATCAGCATTACAAATTCCATTTTTCCTTCTGGAAAAATTTGTATTGCGATTTATACTAGTACGATTACGATACTTTTGCAATGCATACACCGTTTTGTCCCGCTCCGCCAGGGCTTCGGAGGAGAGGGAAGAAATGGACTTCGACGTGGACTTCATTCGGACATTTTCCGGCGTTCTGCGCAACACTTCGTCCCACTGCTCTTCTGTGTTCAGCACTTCAATCGTCGGGCTGGTATTGTCAGCAGATAGCAGGTTAATCATGCCGCCAGGACTTGTGGCTGTGGCTAGGCTTGCTTGTTCTTCTCCTGCTGCGGTAAGAACATTCGAAGCAGAAGCGGAGGGTGTCTTGTCCGCAGCGGCCTGCTCTTGCAGCTCCTGCGCGGCTACCGTTTGCCTCTCTTCCGCCTCTTCGGCGGGTCTTTCGTCCTCATTCTGCTCACCAGCGGTTCCTGTACTCCGTAGCAACTGATTCTCCTCTAGCAGTGTTGACTGCACTCCCTTGCTGTCCAGATTGTGCTTCAAGAAGTACATCACGCACCGCGTCACTAAACGCGGCAACTCCAGATGCATGTGGTGTGTGCAACCCTGGATCACCCCGATGTCCCCGATGTACGCTCCGCCTTGCCGATCCATCCAGTCGGAGTCTCCGTAGAATGAGATCAGTGGACAGTCGAAATTATCCTGTGCAAAAGTATCGTACTCGTATTGCAATCATGCATTGCAAATCTTTATCTTAAGGGTCCATCCGCATTACAAATTTTATCTCGCATGCTGGGGAAATTTGTAATGCATTTATACGAGTACGATACTTTTGCATTTCATAGAACTCAACCCGCTCAATCAGGGGCTCCTCGTGTCTGGTAATCAAATAATTCCCAAAAACAGCGGTCAGAGCCGATTCCGTGCCCACCGGACAGCTGCAGTTCATGTACGCGAGATGATCGACGAAAGCATCGAGCTCCGGCCCCGGGGGAACGGCGGAAAGCCGGGAACGCAGCACTTTGCGGAAAACGAACTCTCCCACCGCACCGAGTCGTTTCGCCGTGGCGAAGGGACCACCGTCGGACTGAAACACGTCCATCATGAACTCGACGGCGTGCTCCTTCACGCCCTTTTCATCTTCCCCCGGGGCGCGGGATTTCGGGAACCCGAAACACGGGGAGAGAAGGACGAGGGCGGCGATACTGTTGTTTATTTCGATTTGGAATTTGATTTTGAATGAAGGCTTTGATCGTTTTGATGTTCGCTGGAACAGGAAGAATATGAGACTCAGCATGTTGAGCATGACAAGAACCGACATCGATTTTTCCAGCCGCGCATGACAAATAAACGTAAATTCATCTCGCACACGAGTGTACCGTTCTTTCACCGTGTGCGCGAACGCGGTTCCAACGTACGCCCCAAACGAGTGCGCGACCAAGACAAATTTCTGCTTCTCGCCCAGGATAGTATTGCACCAAAACCGCAGCCGGCGGTTGAAAAACATCTCCACTTCATGCGGGGACCGGAACATCCGCTCTTTTCTCGTAGACGCCCCCATCCCCGGCAGGTCCAGGAAGAACAGCGGGCCGGCCCAGCGCTCCACCAGAAACTTCATCATGCGGTAGTACTGGCAGAGACTCCCGCCATAGCCATGGATGAAAATCATAGGCAGACCACCCCCGATTCCACCGCGGCCGTGACCTGTTTATTTTTTGTTTGCATTTGTATTGCACGGAGGTGCACGACCAGCTGCAGGACGTTCTTTCGTAGTTAGTTTCATTCGTTCTTGTGCATGACATTTTTTTTCTACTTGTGTAAAAACAAGCAGACAATAGTCCAAAAATTATACATTCCGCGAAGTGGAAGGTCTCTCCCGGGCGGTGCGGTATCCGCATGTCGTGAATCTGCACGGTGCATCTGGCGTGCTTGAGCAACCTTTTTTCAAACGTCGCGAGTTGGGATTCCCCGGGATCGCTGGGCGAGGAATTTTTCGAGTCGGTTTTGTTGTTGTTCCAAATCGACGTCGTTACAGAGGAACTCGGGTCTTTATTCGCGCTGCTCCTACCTCCACCGTTTTTCGACTGGTCGTTGCCCATGGTGGTAAGTCGCTCGTCGTGTGCTGCGGGGGAAGGCAGAGAGAAAACGTAGAAATGAATTACAGGGACGAGGGTAGTACAAGTCCAGTTCGTTGAAACAAGCACAATCGAAGAGCTGGATTCAAGGCTTGAGACGTGGCGGTGGCAGACGAAGATGACTATGCCCTTTTGCAGGAGCCGGAGCCACTTGTGTGGCACAGCGAGTCACACTTCGGCTCACAGCGAAAGGGACTACTGTTCCATCGAACGATCGTTGTGTGGCAAACCGAAGCTTCGTCCGCTGGCGATGGCGAAAGTAGGCTTCAACTACCTACCTTTCCTACCGCGGAAGCGGAACGAGTAGCCGAAGCGCCGTAGTAAGTTGGTTCATTCATCTTTTGATACAATCATGTCGAATCATTAACATTTATCTGCATTGTGTTCACTTTGCCTTAGCCTTTGTTGGAAATCGCCGGCGTAAGGAGCCACATTATATATAGCTCTGTGCTCCAAGGAAACCTCTTGGAATTAAGTATCGGGAAGACGTGGCGTTGTGCGATTTTCGCGCAAATGTCTCTATGATTCGACTTCATCTTCCGAGAATTACTTTGTCGCTCTGCGAGGATGTCGAGGCGGGTGACCACAATGCATAGCGACAGAAACTACTACCATGAATGATTCTCTCAAACAGCATCATGTTATTCAAGTTTGCGATACCAAGTCGATTTAAATCATACACGAAGAGAAAAAGCCAGTACTTACTACTTGCATGCGATATAATAGTGACAGGGAGGTCTACGCCTAGATGCTATGGTTAGTGTAAAGTTCTTGGTGGAGTACATTGAGAACAAACTTGGCAGAAAGCACATACAGAAAACCAAAACTGTTGCAGTGAAAGCGATGCACTTCACACAACAAATGCGAAAACTATTTTGTGGTGAGGCTGATGTCCTAGGGGCAGCCAGCACAGCGTAGCATTTTACACATTGACAAACGTCAATCATCAAGTGAATGAGGATCCTGGTGATGTTTCATCAATCGCGAAGTCAGATGAATTATTTCTGCCAAAGTACACTTTCTGTCGTATGAAATTCCAGTACTCCTATGTGTTCGTCTTAGTCTTAATTTGATTTTTGCAGTGACGCACACCGACATCATTTCTTGCCTCTGGTTGCCTTTCTTACTCTGTCGAATGTACTTCATCAAGTTCAGAGAGAACACATTCACACAGAAAGGGTCGGGTTTGGGGGTCGAGCTCTAGGCACTCCATCAAGGTAGCGCCGTAGTTATGTCACGCTGCACTAACTAGGTTTCATCCTTTGGCTTTGGTGTTCTTGACTCGGCCAACCAAACCCTGTGACGCTATGGAAGGTGCAATAGTCCTCACAGCTGCCTGATCTTTTTCCGCGTGAAGAGCGTTGCTAATATTGAAGCTTCGGGTCAAAGTACACCTTCAGCGCGCTGCTCATACTATACACCCTTCCTCTTCATTTTGCTCGCGTAAACCAAAAACGCCAGCTCTACTATCCCGCAGCCACCGAGCTCTCTCATACAGGCAAATCGACACTGTGTGCGCCACATTCAGGCTGCTGTGCGGTTCGCGGGCCTGCGGGATATGCGCGAACGAATCGCATGTCTCCAGCACTTCCTCCGGTACGCCAGTGTCTTCGGCGCCGAAGACAAAACAATGAGACCCGTGTTGCTGCAAACTGTCGATCGGCTGGAAGGCGCGGGCTTGCAGCGGCGGCAGGTTTTTGTCGCACCACGGTCTTGGCGCAGTTATTGTCACGCAACTGTCATCGAAAGGTCTTGGTGTTTGCGCTTCCGTTTGTGTTTCAGGAAGCCTGGTTTCCTGCATGTTTTTCTGTGACTGGCGGGTTTCCTGGACGAATCCTGGAATTTCCTTCTCGATCGCGGTGATGTGATACGAGTTTGAGTTTCCTTTTCCACTGTCTGGGCCTACTTCCATTTGTGAGAGGTGCGCCTCGTCCACCAAGAATGAGGATCCATTTTTATTTTCCCTTACATCCATACGTCGCTTCAAGCGACTCAGCAATGTCGTGATTCCACCGTACTCGCCAAAAGCAGTTGTCGTAACACCATTAGGCGATATCCACTTCATCTTCAACGCATACTCACATCGCTTGACCATTCCAACCCGCTCTGCCTGTGGTCTCAGTTTGGACTCCTCTTCCGATGCGATAATCAACCCGTCCGCGCCGAGGAGAGCGCAGGAGCGCATGACACCACCGATGTTGCTCGGAAACCGGGGGTTGCAGAGGAGGACGAGAGTGCGGGGGCGGGTTGGGATGATGGAAGAGCAGGCTTGCATGCTCCGAAGTTTGGTTTTAGATTTGTTTCACTTCTAGAAGTGCGTACGTCGTGACAACTACAGTAGATCCGGCAAAGGCACTCAAGTCAAACCAAGGATTGATTGCACCAACAAGAAGAACAATTAGCTTGCGCAGACTTTGGTCGTTGAAGATAGCGAAATACTTATACGCGACACTGGATGGAAACTTCACAAGGCGAAGGCGGAGCGGCGCAAATAATAATAAATGGAAATCGATATAATTGAAAAAAGCCATGTACGTCTGGGGCCCCAAGATGAACATGATCTGCTTGCTTGCAACCAATCTGTACAATCCAAAAAAAAAACACTCCTGCCTGGTAACCAAACAAATGATCACACCGCGCTAGCGCGTCCACGGCTTCCACTTGATGATCCCTGTGGAGCATGATACGAAGGAATGTGGTAACTCGCCTGCGTGCAAGGAGACAACAAATTTTGCGGACTTTTTTAAGCAGAACGGCCAGAAAGTACCTAACACAGCGAGAAATGCTATGGGAACCAACGGGGAAGAACACTCAAAATCAACGCCGACAAATAAAATCAAACAAACAATCAAAAATGCGGCCACGGCGCTCGACAATCACTCAGCGAACTGCCAAGCGACTGAGACAAGACATGCTCACCTCACTCAGGACGGGGGCGCCTGGCTTCACTGAGTGGCGCATACTTACAGTTCAAGCCTGCAGGCAGGGTGGGGCGGGGCGCGAAAGAGTGATGCGGCCGGTGGCGAAAAAGAATCAACCAGGCCCCGGCGCACAATCAGCGCAGATGCACGCATCGCAACGATCTCCACCACAGCTGGCGGAGTACCTATGCCAACCACCCAATAAAGACCGGCCGCGGCGTGCGTGGGCATGATATGCGGGCACGCGGAGAGATACTCGGTGCGCAGGGTGACCCGGGGAGAGGTCGGCCGTGAGGGGGGGGCAGACCGCCCCCCCGGGGCAAAGGGCCGAGCGACCCGACGCGCGTCCGACAGGCCCTCGCCCCCGGGCCAACCGATTGGGCCGCCCGGCCGGCTTCCATGCCGCGGCCCCTGCGCTGACTTAGCCCGAGGGGGGCCCCTGCGGGCGTGATGCGCTGCGTCGGCTCCGCGGGCTTGTCCGCCTCCTCTTCCCAACTTCATCGCGAAGGAGTTCGCTTCGCGCGTTGTCGCTGTCGGTCGTCGGGAAGGCGCGCCGCCGCGTCATTACCGGGAACTGTGCCGCCGCCTTCCTCCCGCAGACGCCAGGCATCTATCTATTCGGAGCTCCCATCCGCGCGCGGCCAGAAAGTTCGCAAGCGCGGCAATTTGGGCAACCAGCGGCGGCCGAGACGAACAGTCGGCGGCCCACAGCGAGAGGCCATGTAGGTCAGCCACGCCGTGAGTTGTCTACGTGCGCCGCTGCTGCTCTTCGGCGCAACAAATACCAAGCAGAGATCTAGGAAGAAACTCCTGGCGACTTCTCATGCCGCCTTCGCCTTCTCCTATACCGTGGACGCACACGACTGACGCAAAATCTGTAGAGCCATAAACTTACAGTGTGTCTTCTTTCTATCACTGTCTCTCAACAGACAACACGGCTGCTCCTCTCGGACCTTGGAGATGACCGTAACCAATCACCAAAAGTGCAGAAAAACCCTCGAAAAGACTCGCTCATAAACGGATCGCCCTCTATGGATATCTATGGAAGTAGAATCTGCCACAACAACCGGCACCAACACGCACTCGTTGTGTCAACTCCTCGCAGAACCACGAAGATATTTATCAAGCTGCTGCAGGAAGATGAACAGCGTTTTCTTTTTTCTTGTATTTTGATACTAGTATCTTGATAGTGGTGGTGCTGCACACACTTCAATGTCGCGCTTACTGCATCAACATAATTAAGAAACAGTTACTCAATCAATTCATGAGATGGATGTAGTTGTATTCATCTCCTCCTCCTCTGCGGCCGGCCCCGGCGGCGAAAGAGAATCTATCAACCAGGGCCCGGCGCACAATGAGCTCAGATGCGAACAACACAACGGGCCCAAGAGTTGGAGGACCCACAACTTGGCCACATGGGTGGCAGGTTGGAAGCCTTCGTGCCCCGGCCAGCCTCGGTGTGGAGCACAACACACGCGCGCGGAAGATCAACAGGGTGGCGCGGGGCGGAGAGGGGGGGCGAGGAAGGGCGCGCCCCCCGCCAGAAGGTGTCTCGGCTCTCGCCCGCGATGCCTTCGCGTCCGAGCGAACCAGCCGAGTTGCTCGGCCGCCATGCTGCGACCGCTTTGCGGACTTACCTCCGAGGCCCCTGCGGGCAAGCTGCGCCGCTCGGCGGCGCAATACGAACACCGCGCCCGCCTGATGCTCAGCGCTGCCTCCGCCTTCCCGTCCGTCGCACGTGTCGTCGGCGATTTGCCGTTGTCCATTTGGACGGGCGCCGTCCTTGGGGGTCCGCATCCGACGGAGGCCAGATCGACGCCGGCAGGGGCGCCCGGTCCGCAAGTCCGCGAGCGCAGCATGGCGAACAGCGGGCGGCCGAAACCAACGAGCAGCGAGCCCGCGCCGGCGCAAGCAAGTAGGTCAGTTTGTTACGCCATGACTTTTCTACTTGTGCCGATGCTGCACTCCGGGAAAACAAACTACACAGAGCACAAAACTAGAGTAGAGAGAAGATCCTGTAGTTCCTGACCGTTCGCCATGCCGCCTTCACCTTCTCATCTCGCACCCTGGACGAACACCAGCTCTAGCGCTCGTCTGAGACCACCTGAACTAGAGCCATGAACTTACAACTTGTTATTCATTCATACTTCCTCTCACAACTCTCCTCGTACTCGCAACACGGTTGCTCTCGAACCTTGCAGGTGAACGTAAGTAACGGACACACATGCAGAGAAACCCTCGAAAGAATAACGCCCTACCTGGAGAAAGAATCTGCCAGAATAACCGTTACAAACACGCACTCGTAGAATCTGCGGTTGTCAACTACTCGCAGAACCACGAAATTCACATTCTTCCTGCAGCAGGTGCAGGAAGATAAGCAACGTCTTCGTTTTCATTTTTGTATTTTGATATCTTCAAGGTAGTGCACATACTTCTTCGATGTCGCGCTTACTGCATCAGCAGAGTCAAAGAAAAGTCGTTCGATGATCTTCATCGTCATAAATTTATTCATGCGGAAGTTGTATCATGTATTCATCTCCTCCTTCTCTGCACCGTTTCAAAGCCGTCCTCATCGATCGTCGGCATTTGCTGGTGATTTGCCACACCAAACCCACTGCCCGACATCCCGGCCACGGGCCCCTTCCCCAATGACATGTCAAACTGTCCCACTGGTCGGTCGAAAATCTCCGATGCGGATATTTCCGGGTGTTGTACCTGCAGGTTCGGAACGTCTTCCTCACTGTCTCCCTCATCGTCCATGTCCACGTCCATATCGTTGTCGTCTTGCGGATTCGAGCCGCAATTTTGGATCGAGGACAGGTGGTTCAAACCACTTCCTGCGGTTGTGTTCAGGAAGCTCCCCTGCTCTGCAATATTTGCGGGCGCACCAGTGCCGCAGGAGGCCGGAGAGGGTCCAGCAGGAGCGCCAGATGCTGATATCACGTTGCCATGCTCGTCTGCATACCTGAGATTGTTTTTTTTGAGAACAAACGATCGTGACAAGTATGTACAGAGTGGTAAAAAACGCAGTATTCATCGGGGCAGGCTGTGAAGCCATGTCTGTTTATTGACATTGCAAATTGAAAACAGTGAATCATCAGTCTTACATTGTTCCATCCTGGAACTTGCAAGCGTTGACTTGTGCCACGGCTTGTGCCTGCAGGGCGATTTCTCGGTCGGCGAGGCTGTAGTCCTTCGCTCGGCACGTATCGAGGAGCTGAATACACTTCGTCGCTATTACGAGGTCGCCTGTAGGTGTGTGTTGAGTGAAAGGTAAGTTTTTTGCGTCGCGCAATTCCATTTCGATGTGATAACTTCTCGACGTTTGCCTTTGCTGCGTCGAATCCCAAAGAACCCAATAATCTGTGATCACATCCTCATGCACGGAACTCCATGCAGATGCAGGTGCAGCACATGCACCAGTTTTCAACAGAAACCTTCGACGCCTGAAACACTTACTGTTACTACATAACCAAGGTAAAAATACTGTCATCCTCCAACTCCGTGTCGCAGAACGCGTACATCTTCACACGTAAAAACTCCGCTAATTTGTCCACATCGGAGTCGTCCGGCTTTTTCAGCGTTAACGGCGGCCTTCTCCGGTCCAGCAGCACCGCGAACAACTCGTCCAACAACTGGTTTACCCGACTCCTACTGTGCCTCCCGCACCACTCTTGGTCGACGATGAGCTGCACGACCGTCCATTTTCGGAAAACGGCGAAAACCCCGTCTTTGAATTTTTCCTCCCACTCCGCCGGGGCGTTGTGGCTCCCGAGGTTGGCCTGCTGGTGCGGTGCGGGGTCCATGATTTCCTCAAAATAACGGGGGTATTTTTGCTTCCAAAGGGTGCCTTGACCGGGGGACTCTGGTCAGTTCTTCACACGTAAAAACTCAAGAATTTTTTACGTCGAGGTTGAAGTAATATGCGAGTGGTCGTAATTTCTGTTGTAGCAGCAATTGGTGGTGGTGCAAAAGACAACTTCACTCGAATCTCAGAACGTTTTACTATAATGACCCGGGCGTGGTCGAATAATGCTAGACGGGGAAAGATCTAGTTGTTCTAGGTCAGTGGGGTGCCTGGAAACATGATATGCGGGTGGACAGATGTTCCAGCAATTCGTCCGACTTCTAGTAGCTACTGATTTCTTGCTCATTTTTGCGAGAGCCAAGGGATCGCCGGGACGAGCACAGAGTAAGTGGTGATCATGGTTTCAGCTCTGCGGAACGCATCTTTTTGTTGCTTTCTTTCAAGGACCACAGGGATCGATTTGATCAGGAGGCTTATTTTAGAAGTTCCATAGTGTTCAGATTGCACGGGCGTCTCTATAAAAAGTCAACCGATGATCACGACAATTTCCTCGACCACACTAAGATCCAGATCCATCAAGTGGTGGTTGGACCATTTCTGTAACATCGGTATGAAAAATGCATTCCTTTATCTTGCTGATGCACACGACGACCGACAACATGGAGACGATTCGAGCAGTCGCCAAAGCCGTAGCAGCTACCGCGGCATCTTCATTATCATTCCTCTGCTGTTCGTTTTTTGCAAATTTTGTACAGGATGAAACTTAAATTTGTGCAGCGAGCGGCGTCAGTTGCTTTTGGCAGCAGATATGCACTCCGGCGCCAAGCACTGCTGAGGTCACACTACAATTTACCTTCGCAGCTGCGCAATTTCGGATATTGCCTGAGTTTGATTTTTCCCTCTTTGCGTAGTATAATTTTTCCGATAAGTATAATTGATCTTGATTCCATCACCATCTTCTCGTCTGTAGATTTGAAGATTTTCAGAAATTGCGTATAATTGAAGTTGATGTACCATAGACATAGTTAGACTTGTTTTCTTCAGCGTGTTTGATGTAGTATTCTCAAGTATAATCCATCGAGTTTCAGCGTCTTTCAGGTGAAAGCGAGCTTCACTAGCAACCCTACGCCTCCGCATCGTCGCCACTGGCGGCATTTGCGTCGGCACTGGCGTACTTTACCTCTTTCATGTTCTGCACCTTGGCCCGGGCTTTTTTCCCCTTGTACAACGCTTGCACGCGTGTGGCGGCCTCCTCCTCTTCCGCCCGCTCGCGTTCCTCCTGCTCTTTTTATGGGGCTCTCAACTGTTACATACTCAACTGTTACATGATTTGTCATGCAAAATGATCATGAGCCGCCAGACCATCATGCTGCTTCGCATGGCAAAGTCTCGAAGGGCTAGACAGCGTCTAAATCTGTGCCAAATTTGTGATGCGAGACGTGCAAGCTCGCCCGTTTCCCTATTGCTGTTTTTGCATCACAAACCCATGTAACAGTTGAGAATGTAACGTTTGAGAACACCATACTTTTTTCGCTTGCATTTTCGCCTGGACCTCCGCCCGGTCGCGCTTGCCCCGGTAGAGCGATTGAACCTGAGCAGGAGCGATGTTCGTTGTCAGAATGGGAGTAGAGCTGGTTGCAAAAGATAAAGACTGGTCGGTGTGTTCACCAATGCAGCCGCAGCATCAAAAATTGAGAATGTACACAGTATACTTCTAAGTATCGTTCGACTAGTTGCAGCTACACATCACGCGCGTAACAAATACCTTCGTCGCCGCCGCCTCGTCCTCTTTTGCTTCCCTGGCTGCCTGCTCGTCGGCAGTCTCGCCCGCTGGTGCCCTTGTCGGTACCTCTTCAGCCACGGCAGTTTCCTTTACGGGCTCGGCCTTTGGCACGACTCTGGGACCACCAACTGTTGTTGAATAACGAAGTACTACTTCGTGATGTTGCAGTGCATCAGTACCACGCCTGCCCAAACGAGAGGCACACAGGTAGTACAGAAAGGGGTCTTTTAACACAACATTAATATAGCAGGCACAATATTTATTCGCACGTTTCGAAATAAATTCTATTCCACAGTAGAAAGTATTAAACGTGAAACGTCTACTACCTTCAGCGACACTTGGATCCAGCAAATCCGACCTGACCGCGCAGACAGTCACTGGTGTTGTTGGTCTCCCAGCGTAGTTGACACCCATCCGACTTATTTTCCACATCTGTATGATAAAATCGGACGTGTCAGTTTCGAGTTTCTGATTTCGAAGCGCAGCCAATGACGTGGTTGATGTATGAAACTACAATCCGAAGATTTTCGCATGACAGATTCACGTACTCTGAGGTTGCGTTGTGTTTGTAGAAGCAAAAGTACCGTTCTCATGCCGGTTATCACTCGCCCAAAAATCACCGTCTTTCCATCGCACATCGGCAACTCCTTGAGCGTCACGTAAAATTGCGAACCATTGGTGTCTAATTTGCTCTTGCACATCCCGAGTAAGCCTGGGGAATCGTGCTTGTACCTGAGGATTTCGGTATTTGCAGCTGCATGCACGTGCACACGGCGAAGTCCTTTCGCGATCGCAAAATCTTTCCGGCTTAGAAAAAATAACGTGAAAGTAAATTCAGGTTTGTAAGTTCTTACTTGTAGGAGTCGTCTGGAACTGGATCTCCGGAGTCTGATACGGAGTTGCACCCCGACCCGTCCTATCAAATGCAAAAATGTCTGGGTCTGGAAGATTCTGAGACTTGTCATGCATATTTTGCATGACCCAGGATGTCTGTAATGCACGACCTAGCATCACATATTTTTAGAGGGCTTTCTGATCATGCCTACTCCGCATGACAAATGCGCTCCCCGCGTAGCAGAAACGAGACCTCTCTTGCTGGTCATGCAATACAGATTTTTTTACAGTCCAAAGTTAGCATCACAAGTTCCAACCTTCCAGACCCAGACACTTTTACATTTGATACGTCCACTATGTCCCCGCCTTGAATGTAACAGTCCTTCTTTATTCGGTGTATCTGTGATTTTTTCGGTGATTCTGGTGATTATACATTGCATCAAGTGATTTGGCTTGAAGAAGATCATGCAGGCGAAGACATCTAAATTTATCTTCGACACTTACACTTGTTTAGAACAAAATCAAACGATGGAACAAACCCCTTCTAGAAAAATCAGTGATTACTGGGGATCCAAGGTATTTCCCGCTTTGCAGCAGCGCCAAAAAGTTGTTCACGATTCTTGGGCACTCCTTGTGAAAGAGTTCAAACGCCACGGGCTCGGCTTCTCGGTCGCCAAATTGAAACGTGACCTGGCAGTATCTCCTTGACTTCGCAAAGTTCTGCTGCTGGGCTTTATTCGCGAGCCTCTTGTACACCAGCATCGACGTACTGTCTTCGTATTTGAACCTGACAGAAAATTGACAGAAAATTTGTATTGCGAGAGAAAGAGAAGTAGAGCACATGTACAATGATCAATCATCTCTCTTCATACTGCGGCGCGTCTGCGAACAGGATAAAGCAAAAAATATACATTTTTCTATTTTTACCTTTTCTCTGCCCATTCGAAGAATCTGTCCATATTTGCGAAATAGAGCGCCTTCTCGTCGTCTGCTATGGCGTACACGAGCGTGTTACTTGGCTTGCACATGAAAAACGCGCCTCCCAGGCTGCCAGCGATCTTTTTCAGTCGGATTTCGTACTGTGCTTCAAAGTAGCCCTCAATCGTGGCGCGGACGTTTGATCTGAGTTTGGGTAAGGTTTTTGCTATGCCTGAGTACTACGTTCTTGAAGCAATGAAATAATGGTCATCTCGCCGGAAAGCAAATCGAATTCTACTTCACCACATTCACCGTGAGTACCTGTTTTGCAATGGATGAATACCACTTGCTCATCATGAGCGCACGAAGAAGTGAATACCTGTTTTGTGCCAAGAACTCCGCTGCCATGCGGAGCTTGTGAAAATCTGGAGCCTGCCATTTTCCCACCACGTGAATGTGGTACTGGATTGGCTCGGCCGCGGGGGCTGGCATCTTTTTTGCGTTGGCAGCTGAAAAATCAAAAACTTGTTCGTATATACTTGTGACAAAAGGAGCCGAGTGTTCTCAAGCTTCTCCCGTAGCTAGTGCAAGAACATATAATTTGTAGTGGTGCACTGTACTGGTGGGCGTGGGCCTGTTGCCTGTTGGTGTAGTTAGCACCTGGCAATAACAAGCATCGTGTTTACGGCAGCCCATTCTTTTCCCTGGGGAGACATCACTACACGACGACCTTCGACAATACCGAGCGACAGCGAGGTGAATCGAGGAGTGCGACAATTTCAGTACGAGGTCAAGCAGCAATCCATGATGTTGCGGCGTTCCTCATAAGTAGAAGTACGTCTTCTTGCATCAACTACAAGATGTACGGGTGCGATGAAACTTCTACAACAATGCGGCCGATGTGTTTATTCTTTCCCCTCGTGGTAGCACTCGATATTAATAACACACTCTGTTTTCACTCATTGAAGATTCTTATTCGACTATAGAGACGACAAACAAGCTGAGAGAAAATATCTAGAAGAACTCACTACGCGCCCGCCTGCTCATTAGCCAGTCGTAGAATCGAATGTGGTAGAGGCACTACCACTACAAGAGGAAGACTAAAAAACCAGCAGCCCACTACTGCTTTCATTCATGTGGTTTTCTTTTCGTTTCTGACTGTGGTGTTTGTACTGTCTACAACTCCACTCGCAGCCGCATCAACATCTTCGTCCGTATATGCATCAGTGTTTTCCGCAAAGCCGCTCTCCTTCAGATTTTGTGTCGTTCTCGACGGCAATTCCCCGTCGCTCATTTCGCCCGCGTCGGCCATCAAGTCTTCCACCTCCTCAAACATCCTCGCGTCGAACGCTTTTGCCCAGAGTTTTTGGATAGTTTTCAACTCCGTTTCCGTCAACCCCTTACTACCCGGCGAAACGTGCTGGACAAAGCGCTGGATCGCGGAGGGACGGAGGCTGCGCGGGTCCTCTTTGGGGAGTTGGGCGGACAAAGCGTCTGCGATGGTTTCCAAGTCGGGTTGGAGGAGCTTTGATGTTGTAGTTGTTCTGGAGAACGGGCGAGTTGAAGAAAAAAGCGGGGACGAAGATGAGGCTGACAATGAGGTTCTGCAGCTGCTGCTGTTGGACCATGGACATGCTCTTCCCGTGGCGAAACTAGAACGTTGCGCCCCCGTAGCAGCATGCGAATGAGAAGTCGACGTTGCACGGTGGATCAGCGGACGATACAACGAAGACGAGGAGCAACTCCTCGTCCTTAACATCACCGCAGCATGTACTATACCGCTGGGTTTTATTGTTCTGCCGCGAAACGCTGGCCGCGCGATCAGTGGTGGCATAGGCAGCGAGCAAAGCGAGGGCATCTCTTGTCTTTTATCTTTATGGCTCAGCTCCAACCACGACGGTGTGTGACGATTATAACACGTGGCGCTAAGAGAAGAACGCTGCAACTACCTCGCGGCCAACGTAGTCCAGTAAAACAAAAAGACGGCACTTATCACTCTTAGCCGTTCTCATTTAGCCTGTATATATTGTCGTAGCACCGCAAAAAACATCAAGACAGGGGTCCATCACGATGAGCATCAAACTCGTTGATTTATCTCAGGATTAGCTATCGCCGTGGAAAAACGCCGGCGCGATGCAGTGCAATACTGCAGTCACAGAGGCAAACGTAGCTTGTTTTTTTTTATATCTACATGGTAGTTTAGAGGTCGTGACCGCAACACGTTGAAATCATCACGCAGCAATTATTTCCGCACGACTTTCTGTTCAGTCCCCATGGTCATCAATAGGCGACAACTGTGAGTAGTCACGAAAATGGTGGGGCTCCACTTGCTCCGCTTGCTCCGGTGCGTATCGCCGTGAAGAAACGCCGGCGCGATGCAGTGCAATACCGCAGTTACAGAGGAGGCAAACGCAGCTTGTTTTTTTTTTCTACATGGTAGATTAGAGGTCATGACCGCAACGCGTTGAAATTATCACGCAGCAAGTAGTTCCGCACGACTTTCTTATTCTTGTTGACTGAAAAGAAAGTTTCTTTTCAGTCCCCATGGTCATTAATAGGCGACAACTGTGAGTAGTCACGAAAATGGTGGGGCTCCACTTGCTCCGCTTGCTCCGGTGCGTATCGCCGTGAAGAAACGCCGGCGCGATGCAGTGCAATACCGCAGTTACAGAGGAGGCAAACGCAGCTTGTTTTTTTTTTCTACATGGTAGATTAGAGGTCATGACCGCAACGCGTTGAAATTATCACGCAGCAAGTAGTTCCGCACGACTTTCTTATTCTTGTTAGTCCCCATGGTCATTAATAGGCGACAACTGTTACTAGTGGACTTTCTCAATAAAGGACTATTTGGCCGAAGTGATTTCTAAGTGTACTCCCGTCGTGTTTCGCTTCAAAAGCCGATTGGTATCTGGATTCTTTTCTGATTATTTTGGATGGCCATACGTAGACCGATGGCATTTTGATGCGTTCTGCAAGTTTCCGTCAGTCTTCTTTCCAGCATGCCAACCAGCTTAGACTAGACCCAAAACGAATGCACTTCGCGACAACGGCTCGGCGCAAAATCGCGCGTACGAATCAGCGAAATACAGGGCAAAGAACGAAAAGAGACGCCGCGCGATGAGATTCTTTGCGCGCCGTTTGCACTAGAGAAGAGCTGGGCCGTTTGCTACGTACTCTTGCTTTTGGAAAATTTGCAAAAGCCCCAGCCCCCCCTGCGGCAGAAAGAGCAAAGTGGCTGCGTGCCCACGTAGTGCAGTCGTGTGGCAGCGCTTACTTACACGCTGGCACCACGGTCGCAGCCATTTTGCTCTTTCCCCCGCGCACGGGAGCTGGAACTGTTGCGACCTTTTTTCTCGGGTTTGCGACCTTTTTTTTCTCGGGTTTGCGACCTTTTTTCTTCAGTTTGCGAGGTTTTTTCTTCAGTGTGCGACCTTTTTTGCTATTTTCGACACAAAAAAGCGCCACAGAATGGCTTCCAGGTGGGAAGCGCCGGGGGCACCGGCGAGGCAGCGCGCGGCGCATCCACAAGCTCCGACGGCCGCCCGCAAAGGCGCGCGGCGCACCTTCCACGCTGCGCACGCCTTTTGTTTTTTGGCTAGTTTCGCGAGTTTTTTCGTGCCCCGGCTCTTTTTTTTTACAGTTTTTGTATGTCCCGGCGGCATTTTTCCCTGCTTTGCGCGGCCAAACAGGACGCCGCTTGTCTTTTTTTTCCCTTGAAGCAGGTCCCAATAATCTTGCCCGCCGGAACGTACACGCACCGCGCCGATACGCCCCAACTTGTTTTGCTTCCGCGAGATTTTCCTTTCCGCTGGAGCCCTCTTCCGGCCCACTTTCCCGTGGTTCTGCGTCGGCCACGAGTCCGGAAAAAGACTTAGGGATTACTTCGGTTTTACTTAGGATTCACTTAGGCCAACACTTAGGTTTATCGAGAAAAACCAATAGTCCCGAAAATGGTGGGGCTCCACTTGCTATCAAATGTAAAAATGTCTGGGTCTGGAAGAGTCATGCTGTTTTTGCATGACACAGAAGGTCTGGCATGGAAGCTCTAGCATCACAGGTTTCGAGAAGCTTCCGCAATGCCGAATCCGCATGACAAATCCCCCATTTTGGTGACAGAAAGTAGGCAGCGTTTGCTACCTATGCATGAGAGATTTTTCTGTGTTCTGAAATACGCATCACAAGTTTGTATTCTTCCAGACCCAGACATATTTGCAATCCATACTTGCTCCCGATAAACTTGCTCTCCCTCATTTTCTGCCCCACCGCCCACACCTCCCGTCCCGTCTGGCGATAACTCGAGACTCTGACTGCTGTTCCCGTAACTCAAAAACTGGTTGCGCTTGTACCGGGCGGAGCGCTTGCTACTGTTAATGGTGTTGTAGCCTCCACGGGGAGTTACCTGGTGATACATTGAGATTTTTCTAAGGTCATGAGCTTGCCGTGAGAACAGGTTGCGATTCGAGAAAAATTGCAGAAGCAGGAGGTCGAGGTCGTGTGCGTGTGGTGAATAAAAGCAGTCCTGGTCTAGATTTTTTTGTATGACAAGTCAGCAGTCGAATTGTTCAAACGGACCAGGAAATAAAGAAGTATAGATCAACAAATACGTATCTCGGCGTGAACAGGCTGTTGTTGAAGACGGAGGACGGCGTCAAAACGGTATCGGTTCTGCTCGTGTTAAGCATGTTGTTTCCATCCACCCCGGAAGATGATGAAGACACCGGTGCTCCTGAAAACGAACTCGGCTCAAATTGCAGTTGAGATTGTGGCCCAAGAGCGCCAGCTGCACCAGGAGGTCCTGCTACTACACTAGGAAGAGTTGTAGAAGAGGTGGTTGCAGTTGTTAACACAGCTGATGTGCCTATGCCATAATTATTGCCATAACTTCCCGCTTGTCCAGCACTGCCCGTAGCAGTCTGCCACGGCGTCGGCCGATTGTACCGGTCCCGGTAGTTTGGGTCGCCGAAGCTGGTCGACAAAAAAGACGCACTCAGTAGCGAATGTGCTTGCGCGTACATGGAATCGGGCGCCGCGGGCGATTGGGGTATGGAGGATGGAGGCAAATTCTCCACACTGTTACGCAGGAAAGAGGACTGCTCTAGAGGGGTATCGGAGAGAAAGCTTGTTGTAGTTGTTCCCTGCTGCGGTGCCTGTGCAGCTCCTGCTCCGAATGATGTTGGTGGTCCTACAGGTGGTTGCTGGGACATCGCTCCTGCTGGTGCATTGGCTGTCGATCCTCCGACCAAAAAAGACCCGGCGTTTGATGCAGTTGCTCCACCCGATGATGAAGTCGTGTGTGACAGATAGGGCGCAAACTGGGTGGCAGGAGAAGCGGCCAGTGGGGTAGTGGTAGTAGGAACAAGGCGTTGTTGGTTGTGGGCACCTGGTGAGGAACAAGCCGCTGCTGAACCTGGCCCAGCAAAAGGGTTTTTTGTAGGTTTGCTCGAGCTAGAGGACGAGACACTTGAACTACTTGTCCCGCCGTACATTACGTCCAGCTTCGGGGAGTGGCTCAATCTCACTTGGTGATACGAACCAAGATCAGACTGGGTGCAGTTATCCAACATTCGACTTTGATTCGACTGCTGTCCGCCCCTCACCGGTGGCAACGCTCCGACAACCGTTGAAGATCGCGAATGATTTATTGCAGCGGGAGGAGCCCTTAACGGTCTATTTGCATTCGCCGATAGAGAGGCACTAGGCAGTGTTTCCGCAAGTGGGGTAGGAATTGGCCTCAGCCCGTTTTTATCGTCCACCCGCACTCCATGGCTCAGGTAGCTCATCGTACCAATGTCAAGCTCAGGTCGGGAGGTTGCAGCCGCGAGGTTGTCCTCCACAGTGGTACTGGGCACGTCTCCCGCTCCTGCAGCAGCTGGGGTTGCTTTTCTGGGCCGCTGCAGCTCTGGTTTTATTCCGTCGGACAATCTCGGTTCATCGGGAATTGCAGCCAGACGAGGAGCACTGACACTGTAAGTGGCTCCGCCTTGTTCATGTTGGGTAGCGACTATGCCCTTTGACACCGACCGGGAATTATGATGATCACCGCCAAAATTATAACCGGAATCTGGTGACGCGGCGGAGGGTGGCGAGCTGGAACAGGACGAAGCACTGGCTGATGAGGACGAGGATTTCGAAATCGTGTGGTCGCTCAAAGTTGGTCTCAACTCCAAAGCGGTCGTGGAGAGTGTACGGCCAAAACCAGCGAAGCTGCCTTCTACTGTTTGTACCCCTGCTGCGGATTGCGCCGAGGGTCCGCACGACACGGAGTGGGAGTTGTAGTACCCGTTCCCATCTCCTGGCGCCCCCGCCTCCCGCACAGGACCCCACAGTCCCGACGAACTACAGCTCGACGCCGCTGATGAAGATCCGACACAAGAACTCGAAAACAAACCATCCGGCGGACTGGCTGGCGTTTCATTAGTGTGCGCCCCCTCTTTCAACGGGGAACTTTTTTCCTTTTTCTTCTTTCCACCGATTTGGAAAAGGTCCATACCAAACTTCTTTTTCTTCTTTTCGCTCGTACTAGTGCCTTCGATAAAATCTACGGCGTCGTCCAGCGGGCCGGAATGCAGGTCCGGTGATTGCGAGGAACTACTGACAGACGACTTTTTCTTGTCCTTTTTCTTCTTCTTCGATGAGCTGGTCGGAGAGGCCGTGCTGTCGCGGGCAGTAGTTCCTTCAGCAAAATTTTCTGCTCCAGCCTCAGTGGAGGTCGCCGACTTAGTATTTCCAACCTGCGGGGTCGAGGTCGTATCCACATGGAGGTCCCGTGACGCTGAGGCAGGCGTTGCGCTTGCGTCCGCATCGACGGAGTTGTCAGCTCCTGTGGTGGCTTGAGCTTGTTTGTTGGACGTCTTTTTG